CCGTCGTCGGGCGACGGCGACCCCGCGTTGGAGCGGCGGCGCAGAGAATCCCTGTAGTCCGGCATGCGGGCCAGCTGCTGCTGCTGGTGCCGGTGCGTGCGCCGGGGCGGCAGCGGTGGCGACTCGCCCGAGGCTGCCGAGGGGGTGGCCTCGAGCACCACCTCTTCCCTCACGACGCTGACTATTGTAACTTTGGTGACGTGCGCCGGCTCTGGCGGCGCCACGTAGTCGTCCGAGGGGCTGCGCCCGGGGCTCTTGCCCGGCACGAACGGGGGTTGCTGCTGCCGCTGTGGGGATGGAGTTCTAGGCGGCTGCGGTTGCTGCTGGCGCGGCGGGGTGGTCGGGGCGGGGGCAGGGGCAGGAGGGGGTGAGGCCGTCTCATCTTGCGGTTCCTCCGAGCGTAATCAGTGCGCGCCGACCCTGCTCACGCCGGAGCCGCTCAGTAGCGAGCTCTTCTCGTCGACGCCCTCGTGCTCGCCTTCGTCCTCCTGGCGCCAGCCCTTTTGCGCGCCGCCCGGCGTCTGGTTGTCGTACTTGGACCCGCCGAGGGCGCCCTGGGTGCTGGCCTGGGCGGTGCCGTCGTACACCATGCTGTTCCGGTTGCTGCGCGGGGTGGTCGGCTTCACGGGGTAGAAGACGCCGCTGACGGGCCGGGAGCGTGCGGGGCTCCCCACCCCTTTGACGTCCGCCTCGGCATTGCCGCCGTCCTGCGGCTTCTCAAACACGTTGCGCATCCTCTGGAACAGGCTGCCGGGGGACGCGGTGGCGGCCATCGACTCTCGCTTGCTCGCCAGGGTCTGAGGTGGACTCTCCCGCGTCTGCTGGGGCGCCGGCTCTTGCGGCTGCCAACTGCTTGCGTCGTTTGGGGCGATATTCTGAACCATCCCGCCCGACTTCGGCTCGCCCGGCCCGCCCGCGTCGTATCGGAACGGATCGTACTGGGAGACCTCGGAGACGCCGCGGGCGCGGCCGTAGTCTATGCTTTGCGTGTAGCCGCGCGGCCGGTTGCTGTAGTCGCCTCCCAACCCCGCGAGGGACTCGTGCTGGTTCTGGGGCACGGTTGCCCAGCTGTCGCGGATCACGGGCTCGTGGTTGTCCTGCTGCAGCGCGGCGTGGATGGGGGACGACGGCGCCGACGACAGGGTCGTGCGGCTGTGCAGCGAGGCCGGGACCGAGTCCGTCCGCGCGTGCCACGACATGTTGGTGACGTCCCGCGGGGCGAACATTTCCGGCTCCATCTCGTCGTCTTCGTGCCCGTACGAGCTTCCGTACGATGTGTTGCCTGACGCCTGCTCGAGCTCCGAGGCCAGGGACAAGCGGCCACGGACGGCGTCGGGACTGTCCTGCTGTGCCGCGTGTGGCTCCTGCATCTGGGCTCGGGGCGTGGCTGGTGGGTATTGCTCCGGCGAGTTCTGCTCCCAGCCCTGCGACTGCTGTCCATAACGCTCTTCCGCTTCCAAGTCACTGTGTTCCTGTGATTTTTCCCAGGATGGCGACTCTTGCTCTGTCACAGCCTCCGCTGGGAACTTCATGGGTGTGAATTGCAGAGAGTCGGGCCTCGGCGCGTGCCGGCTGGCCGCGAGGCCCTTGAACGGCACAACCGGGGACTGGTTGCGAAGCAGCAGCGGGCTGATATCTTCGCTGTGACCCATGGCCGCAGCCGGGGCAAGGTGAGGAGTTGACATGGGGGCGGCACCGGGCTGTTCAGAGGTCGCGTCAGGCAGGGCCCGCGGCGTTCTGAGGTCCTCTTCGATGTTCCGCATGAACTCTTGAGACACAGGCCTCTGCTCTGTCATAACCGTCAATTCGGGTCGCGAGTCCGCCGGCGCCATCTCCTCGGTTTCTTGTAGCTTCGCTTCGGGTGCCATCTCAACATGGACTCTCGCCGGCGACGCTGGCTCGTGGGCATCGCCGCTTTCCAAAGCAGTCGAGTTGTCGTGATGACCGACGTGTTCCTGCCCCGAGCTCGCAGCGGCAGCCTGGTGCTCCAATTCTTGAGCCTTTGCGCCGCGGGAACTCTGATCACTGACTTCAGAGTCGTCCTCGAACAAGTCGTCAGTCCCGTAGACAGTAGCCGTCTTCTCCTCAATGGCGGAAGCTTGCGGGTACTGCGCATGGGCGTGAAGATCGCCCTCCTGTTGAAGAGGTGTTGCGTAGAGTTGTGGGTTTGTAGCATCGGACAACACTACGGTATCGACTCCCAGCCCAAGATGAGGCACAACAACAGATTTCTGTCTCACGTCAGCCGCAGTGGATTTGTTTAGCGGAGCCAAGCTCGCGGCCCCGTGATGGTCTTCTTCAGAGTCCCAGTCACTGTCATCGTGGTCTTGCTGCGCTTCGTGTGCGGACTCGTACTGATCAAACGAAGTCGAAGCCGGGATGGTGTGGGACGCTTGTCCTTCCGCCGCTTCTTGTTGGCTGACAGGTGCCTCGATTGCTGGGGTTGCTCTAGAAGCCGCCCCGAGGCTTGGTTTGGCAGCATCTAGCTTGTTTCCCCCAATGATGGAATGAGCATCGAGGGTGGCATGCAGCGACGGTGCGTGCTGCGGAGCCTCATCGTCCGTGTCGCTCACAGGCAGATCTTCATGTGGCAGATCAGTGTTATGCGCCAAAGAGCTGAACTCTGAAGCATCCAGCGGGGAAACCGGCTCTCCTGTATGGGAGGCTAGCGGAACTGCGGGAAGCTTATGGTCAAGATCAAAGGCAGACCCAGTGCCGGACACTTCCGAATGACTGTCGTCGTAGTCAATGACAGGGGCGGACACGGTGGGATTTCCCGCTACCAAGACTTGACTCTCAGCATCTTGTATCTGCTGCAGTTGAGACTGCATGTCGGACACGACGAGGTCGGCAGGTCCATGGCCTCCATGTCCAAGACCATCATCGATTTGCAGCGAATGCGCTTTGGCGGCTGACCGCGAGGTCTCTAGGGGCGTCATGGGATGGGCATTGTCCGCGATGACGATATTAGACTCGTGAGAAAGCTCGTTTTGGGTCAAGGTGTTATTGTCCAAGTGACCGTCGGCAACCTGGCTCGACTCTGCGATATCCATGCCCATTTTGTTGGCAGCGAATGGCAGTTGACCATCTGTTTCCTGGGGGACGTCCTGGACTTTTGACGCCTCGTCATGCGTGGCGGCCGCCGCATCATTGGGCTCGGCAGCCTTGACGTCAAGGGCATCTCCGATCTTAGCCGCGGCGTCGGTCTCGGTAGCTTCTCCCGCCTTGGTAGAACCCTCAACCTTGATGGGCTCTTCAACATTGACGGGCTCCTCGGCCTTGATAGTGTCCTCAGCTTTGACGTGCTCCTCAGCCTTGGTAATCTCCTCGGACTTGATCATGTCCTTGCCCTCGACGGCTTCCTGGGCCTTGTTGGGCTCCTCGGCCTTGACGGGGGCCTTGGTTTCAGCAACATCCGCAACCTTGGCAGCATCAGGTGCCGCACTCGGCTCAACATCTAGGTCGACAGATGGCGCCGAGGCAGGTGCAACAGGTGCAGTTTCCAGTGGAGCAGACTCCTCATCGCCGACTTGGATGGTGTGGTCGTCTCCATGGTCTGGCTTTGGCGCTTCCGTAGCATGTGCCACATCCGCCACTTCTTGAATGCCAACATCAAGCTTGGCGCTGCTTTCATGCGAGATCTCTTGACGAACCGCATTTTCGTTGTCCTGGTCTGAGTTGCCGAGAGCGAGGGGGGCGTCAGACACAGGCGCATGCTCTGCCTGGGCGTTGGACTCCTTTTCGGGAGCCTCCGATCGCTCCTCGGGCTGGGCGGCCTCCTCCATGTCGCCATGGTCAAGCTCCGTTGGCCTCTCGTGCGCGGCAGCCGTCCCGGACATGCTATCCGTGACAGCCTCCACAGCCGGCTTCGAGAGCTTGTCTCCCTCGAGCTCCTCCGCTTTGTGGATGACAGCAACAGCCTCTCGGTCAGCCGGCTCGGTGGATAGCGTCTTGTCATCGGCGCCCGTAATCTGGGGAGCGATCTGCCTGTTCGGTGTCTCTGCGAGATTATGAGGGTCACCTGAGAGTTCCCGAGGTGAGAATCCAGGGTGATGCAGATCAAACTCTCCGCTATCGGAAAGCAACTCGGGTTCGCTGCTGTCCTCATCGTGGTTCTCGCTGTCAATGGCAGCTTCAGTCGTAGAGAGTTTAGGTTCAGACAGGTTGTCATGCTCGGGTTGTTGTGGCAGCACATCTCCCGCAAGCCTCTCGGCGGGCGCGGGTTGGTCGAGTTGCTTCGTCTCGGCAATCCCCGAAGCTGCTGCTACGACAGAGCCAGCGGCATCATGGGCCGTGGCACCAATCTTCTCGTATTCGGAATCAGACTCGAGAACAGAGTCGAGGCCTTGTGTCCCATCGGGCAAGACGCTTTCTTCTCTGTCCAGTGCATGGACGGACGGGATATCGGCGGAGCGTGCCTCGACCTTCGGCTCGGCTTCTTGGGCCTTCACCGCAGATTCCTGGAGTACCAGGGGCTCTTCAGGCCGAGTGACTTCTCGCTGCAACTCGATCTGGTGCTCGAGATGATCATCATGCTCTGGCTCTACGGAGCCGGGCTGCATCGCCTCTTGCAGGGGTGGTGTCGTTGGTGCAACTGCCTTGCTGTCTGTCTCCCTGATGGCCTCGACCATGTACTTAGAGACAGGCTTGATCTCGCTGGGCAGGTCTTGCTCAGGCTTCTGAACCGTCGGCATCTCAGCCTCCTCAGCGTGCACGCTGCCATCGTCAACAGCGGCGGGGACAGGGACCTCAATTTGGGCGTTAGGGGAGGCCAGAGGCTTGCTGGTCTGAGTCACGCTAGCCTGTTCGGCTATCGCATCTGCCTCTTTGCGGACTGGAGGCTCAGCTTGGCTATCAGCCGGCGACTTGTCCGACGCCAGAGACTTTACTTTGAGATCGAGGCTTCCCAACGGCGAGCTCGGTGCAGGGGCCTCTTCCAAGATCTCTGTTTCTGTTGAAGCCTTGGCCGTCATGTCTGAGGGAATCCCCCGAGCTTGAACAACTAGTGTCTCAGGAGCTACCGCGCCATTTGCCAGCGGTGCTGCATTGGGCTCTTCAGACTCATTGTCATCCTTTTTGACGCTGGCAATCGCCAGATCCCCACCGCCCTGCCTCTCGACTACAGGCCGAGGTGTTTCGGCGTTCTGCTTCGTGATGACTTTGGTTGCTTGTGGGGCTTCATCAGCCACCTCCTCACTCGTATCTACCGCAGGGGTCGCTTTGGGTGCAATGTCGACTTTGTCTTCCGATATGTGCTCGTCAGCAGGCGTGGTTTCGCTCTTCGCCGTCATGTCCTCCTTTGGTGCCTCGACCACGTGGGCCTCCATGGGTGCGTCCGATTTGTCGGCAGCCGCCTTGTCTTCGGGAAGCGGCTCTAGTACGCTGGGTGGGACAGAGTGCTCATCGGCTTTGGCAGCGGAAACAGGGGCATCGATCGGGGCTTCCTCAGTGGCGTCGGTGTCATGAGCCTTGATGTCTTTGCTGCCAGACGTCTCTTGCTTCTCCTCTGGTACAGGGGCTGGCTTCTCTTCGGCGGCAAGGGCTGGGGCAGGAATCGGTTGGTTTTCGATGAGAGCCGCCTTTTCTTCGCCCTTCTCTCCCGTCACGGGGGTTGGAATTTGGTTGGCAACGGGAGGCAGCTTCTCTTCAATGGCGGGAGTCGGTTTCTCGTCGACAACAGGGATGGGCTTGTCCACTGGGGCAGGAGTCGAATTCTCGTCGGCAACAACTGGACTCTCTTCCGTGGCAGGGGCCAATTTCTCGTCGGCGACAACGACCGGCTTCCCATCAGCGGCAGGGGTAGACTTATCAGTGGGGGCAACGACTAGTTTTTCGTCGGCGATAGCAGTGGACTTCCCATCAGCAGCAGGTGTCGGTTTCTCATCAGCAACAGGAATGGACTTGTCCGTAGGCTCAGGAGTCGCTTTCTCGTCAGCGGCAGCAACGGACTTCTCGTCGGCTGCAGAGATGGACTTGCCAACCGTGGCAGCAGCTGGCTTTTCGTCAGCGACGGCGGTCGGCTTCTCATCGGGGACAGCAGACGGTTTCTCATCGGCGGCAGGCGCTGGCTTCTCGTCAACAACAGGGACAGACTTGTCCACTAGTGCAGGAGCTGGCTTTTCCTCGGCGGCGGGGGCCTCTGGCTTGCCCTTGGCCTCGCTGGGGGCAGAGCGGGATGCGGCCGCGACGGCCCCCCGCGACACAGACGTCCTAGCGCGCCTCCTGGCCGGCAGCGGGGGCAGGGGCACCCTCATCTGCTCTTCGATTAACCGATTGATTTCCTAGGGAGCCAAGCACGAAGCAAAATGTCAGAACTGGGGAAGACCAAAGCCTCGAGCCGGCCGGGAAGACAGATACGGACCTTTCGTCTCTCTTCGAGGTCCACGAGGCGACGTTCGCCCTCCTCGAGCCTCTTGCGCTCCTCCTCCTCCGCCTCCTCCATCTTGGCGTCGGTCTGCTCCTCGATCCCCTCGGTCTGCTCGTCCAGCTTGACCTGGCGCTGCTCATCCTCGGTCTGTTCGCTCTGGGCGAGCTCCTCGTCCTCCCTCCGCCTCCTGGCCTCCCTCTCCTCGTCTTCTTTGCGCCTCTGCTCGGCGATCTCCTCTCGGGCGCTCTTGCGCTTCCTGTCCAGGTCCGCCGACTCCAGCTCGAAGCTCTCCTGGAGCGCCTGAATCGCCGAGTCGCACTCTTGCTCCAGAGCGTCGAGCTTGGAGTCGTGCGTCGCAGTGTCCAGCCCGGCGATGGTCTCGTGTATCTGGGCCAGGGTCTCGCTCATCTGCGAGACCAGCGCGGCTACGTCCGGCATGATGGCGGTGATGGGGGGCTCACTGAGCCTGTGAATGAGAAAGGAAGATGATTAAAAAGTCAATTGAGGCAAGGCGGTATCCTGCCCGTGCCCTGTCGCTTTTCTGTCTGTGACCTAGCGACTGAAGACTTTCCCGAGGTCCTCATAAAATGGCTGAGAGCAAGCTAGATGAGAGTGTTGCTCGCAGACCACAAAGACCGATGGCCAGCATGGGAGGGAAGAGAAAGGGAAGAAGGTGACAAAAGAAAGAAACAGAGACGTGCTGTGACAGACCGCAGGCGTCAGGGAACCGACTTGCAGCATCACCATCAGCTCTGCCATACCCTTGCTCCGGGCCGGAGACTGCTGAAGCTCATCATGCTTTCCAAGGGGTTGGCATCCCTCCTCGGCGCCCATGTCGATGTCACGGAGCAGGGGGGGAGCCTCCACATCCAGACGCCTCGACCGGGGTACTGTGTCTACATAGCGCGCGACCCGACGGCGTGATGGAGAGAGAGACTCGACAATGGATGATCGAGAGGCAAAAGCGCGATTCCGAGGGAGAGCCGGTCGCATGGGCGCCCTTTCACTGGAAAGGGCCGACTGACGAATTTCCAGCGAACGGCATCGCCGCATGAACGAGGCAACCAGATTACTCTGCCAATGGCCGGCAAAGGAGACCTCTGATATACCGTACAGAGAGATATCAGCATGATGTAGATAGACAACAACTGGGCCTAGGCAAGGGCTCGGTAGGAGCTTCCCACGAGGTTAACGTCACGCTTACGGCACGCGAGGCGAGCAGACGAAGGTGTGGATGATGTTTGCGGGTCGAACGAACAAGTCCCGCGGCGGGGCGGACGTTTGGGTTTCGAGGGTTCCTCGGTCCTGTCGTGCGGCTCGGCGGGGCCTGCAATGGCGTGTGGGAGAAAATAGACGCACGCTATCGTGGGAGCATAGCATTGGGGTCTCCCCTGCAAGAGAAGGGAGATGGAATCATGCGGTGGGTGGGCCACTTTCCGGGCCGGCACTCGACACTGAGGATCGGCGGGTGGGTTTGGGGCAAAAGGCGCGCGCTGGATTCGTTTCAGTAGGTTGGATGCTTGGACCCTGGTCGCCTGTTACTGTGATGTAATTTGGACAAGGATGTCCTCGCGCCTCAGGCGTCGAACATGTCCCGAACGGACACCACCATATCAAGACCAATCTTAGCTACACTCAACCCCAGACATCATCATGTTTGCAGAGGATTCGGCCTCTTTACTCCCTCCGCCGAGGCTCTGGGCGAGTAAGAATAAGAGTTCGGGCCGCTGGAATGGTAGTGACGCACATATACCTCACTGCAAGACGCAAACTCACCTAGACGCGCCTCGAGGAAGCGCGGCCGTTGACAAATGTTATAGCGCTGTGGATGTGATGGTAATATATATCCGAGACTGGCAAAAGGGCCTGTTGACCAGGAGGCCGCGACATGCACACCGAAAGCTTGACCGGCTGTTCGCCCACGACTCGGAACTCCGGGGCCAAAGGGGAGAAAGGTGACGCGTGAAGCGGAACGAGCTAGATGAAAAAACTTATATGTACATCGTGAGTGAGATCCTTTTCATTGCCTGCTGGAACATAGGTGGATCTCGACAACCTCGGTCACTCTAGATAGGGCCTCATGAAACGCTACTGCTGATGCCGACATGCCACCGAGATAGCAGGCCCGAATGAGGGGGAACGTAATGAACAAAAGAGCAAAATGCAAGAAATCATCATCTGGTACATGTAACGCCGTGACAGCACGCTTCTCCACGCGCATAGTATAGGAACCGCTAGAAAACGAATAGTACACCTCTCACCATAACACAGGTGTTAATAGACGTAACCTCCCGGAAGCGAGGGCGGCGACTCGTACACTCGGCGCGTCCGTGTTCGGTCGATCGCCGTGTCCGGAGGATGTAATTTGACCATCGCTGGCCAAAGCCGTGGAGAATCTGCGGGATGCGATGCTTGTGACGTCGTTGATATTTTATTCTGGTTTTTTTCGGGGTTTCTTTTTTCTTCCCTCTCCCTCCAGTCTTGTCTCAATATCCTTCCCCCTCTTCATCGTCCGCTCTCTTCTATATCCTGGCCATGGTGCCCTTGCCCTGGAGCGCGATGCGTCGCCTGTACTGATCGCGGAATCCCATGCGCGCGAGGGTGCCGTAGCCGACGGCGCCGACGAAGCCGACGAGCCAGATGCTGCAGATGATGAGACCGAAGGGGAAGATCATCAGTTGGACGCCGGGGAGTACGAAGGGGACCGTGCTGTTGGCCAGCTGCCGGAGCGACTCCTCGACGGCCATGTTGGCCACCGAGAACTCGGACATGACGATCGAGTCGGAGAAGACGCCGGCAACGAAGGCTGCCTCGTTGGACGATACGTTGGTGGTCACGGTCTGGCCCGTCGGGTTGACGGCCGAAAGGGTGACTGTCGGCATGACGAGCGCCTCGAGCGTGGCCCTGTTTGGTCTCGTTGTTAGCACCACACGAGCGCCATATGTCGCTGGGTGGATGGTGAAGACAAGATCCTTACATGTTTATTCCGGGCGTCATCCTTTCCTTGTCGATCTGGCCGATAAACATGTACGACTGGAGGACCCGCAGGTTGTTCCCGTTCGGGCCCGGGTCTTGCCTGGCCGAGATCCTCATGCTGGCGGCGGCGGCCGGGGAGATGGGGGACACGGAGGCGCCGTTGTACTGCAGGCCGACCTGGATGTTCTGCTGCGGGATCCCGGCGAACTCCCCGCTCGGGGCCGTCAGCTGGTATAGCCTCAGGTCGGCCTCGAAGGTGCCCGTGACGTTGTTGAGGGCGGGCAAATTGTAGCAGACGCAGGTGCCCGACGGGTTCGTCGACTCGGGCAGCTTGCTGAGGGCCTCCCTGCAGGCCTTGTTGACTGTCTCGTCCCACGCCGTCATGTTGATGGTGCCGTCGCCGTTCAGGGTGACGCCCTGCGATTGCCTCTTGGTGATGATGGTCGCGGTAACGTCGCCGTCATGGCCGGGGAAAAGCTCCTGCCTCTTCTCCAGCACCCCCAAGTTGGTCCCCATCAGGTCGTCCACCTCCATCGCCTCGAACGCGGCGTAGGCCTGGGCGAAGAGGAGACCCGCCGGGAGGACTGTATGCCAAAACATAGTGTCGTCGCGTCGGGATGTATTACGGCCGGTCGACGGCTGGGCAGGTAAGAGATCGAGGGCGGGTTGGGACGGGCGTCAATTTCGCTGAAACGAAGACGGCGTCGTCTGCCCTCGCGAGGACTGAAGAGAAAATAGAAAAGCAGAAGAAAAAAACGAAAAGAAAAAAAGGAGCGTCGAGAGCAAAATGTTGTTACACGATCTGGAAAGCCGGTCCGTCGATGGTCGAGAAGTGGAAAATGGGACCTGCCCGTGGTCTGTTGGGGAGGAGCAGAGGGTGTGTGTGATAAGGCGCCACCTGCGAGCCCGCGTTGTCGCGGAGGAATTAGGGATGTTATGAAAAAGGAGTGGCTTGAAAGCGGAAGCGAGATGGGAAAATTGCGGCCAGACAGGCGACAGCAAATGGGATAAAACAGAGTGGAACGGATGGAGAAACAGCCCACCAGAAGCCGCTTGTGATAGACAAGCAACCCGGTCGTGCTGGAGCTGCGGCGGGTGGGTTGGAGGAAGAGGAGGGGGAGATGCTGTGCTGGCCGATGGGCGCACGGGATTACCTGACTGTTGTCGCAGGCCTTCTAGAGATGACCTGATGGGCGGAAGGGTGGGAGCGTGCAGGGCCGACAGTCGAGCGGCAGCTGCACGAGACCAGGGGCACTGCTGATTGGATAGGCGCAGCCCTTTTTAGCCCAGGGGCAGGGGCTGGTCGACGTCTGGGCTGCCCGCTTTGGGGTGGAGGCTCTGCAGAATCCGTGGAGAGGCGGCGATACGAGAGCGTCGCACGGTCAGGACCTCCTGAGAGAATGGCAGGGATGGGCCAGTTGCCACCATCTCGATGGGACGGACTCGGGAATGGCAGCACTATCGTCAGAGAGCCAACACAGCACACAACCAGCTGGTATCATCATCATCATCATCATCATCACCGTCCGTCCAGAAACCACCACAAGTCCACGCACGAAGCCGTCACTACACAAATCCGACCATGTGGGCGACCTCAATCCGGACCCAGCGCGCCAGCACCCGCTAAAGTCAAGCAGGGAGCCGTCGGATCAGCTGATCATGTAACAGACCAAGTCTGAAGGCAGTCTGAGGTTTCGCCGAATTGGGCGACGCCAGGGGCTTTTCTTTTCGCTGGCCTACTGGAGACGCAGAAGGGGGGAGTCTTTATGCAGGCACATGCACATGGCAGATCCAGGGTGGCCCTGCAAACCGACCACCTAATCACCCATCACCGCCTCCGTCACAATCGATCTCGGGCGGCCCAAGCCACCACCGCGCCCGGTGGATGCAACGGAAACTGCACAGCGGGCTGGATCCTGATGAGCGGGAATGGCCGCCATTATATGCAGCCCGTTCTTTGAGGGCTCCCAACACATGTTCTTCATCGGTTGTCACATGAAATCAAGCAAGACAGACGAAGGGCAAGAAGAAGAAGGCGGTCGGGCAAATTTTAGTCGCCCATACTCGCTTGGCGTTTTTGAAACCATCTCGCCCCAGAAAAAGAAGGCCAAGGGCGAGTGCGTCAGGGGCAATGGTGTGGTAGCGCCACGTGACGCCCATCTATCCCTCGCCCAGCCGCTTCGATTGGCTTTCGGGCCTTCCACGCAACCTTTGGCGGTCCTCGACGGCCTCTCAGTCACCACGGTTGGCGCCGTTGCAAGCTTCGGCACTAGCAAACCAGCCCAAGCGCAAGGGGCCTTTTTGCCGTAATTGTTTGACACCGTCCGGGCGAGATTCCTGGACCAATGAATGTTGGCCATCGCGAGGACAATAAATGCCATGAAGAACCCAACAGGTCTCGTAATGCCATAGGCTGGTTCAAATTGCCACCATTCACAGTAGCCTTCCCTCTCCTCTTCTTCGAGAGGGCTTTTTGTTCTTCTTCGTTTTTACCTAATGGGATGGCCGGCATTAGAGTCCGTGCTGCAGACCACCAACCGAGCGACATTCTAACATGCAAAAATAAAGAGCCTATGCGATTGCCGCCAGTCTTCCTTGCACTGGGGTTACCCTTGGGTAGCCGCTGGCCTAGTGGCGCGAGGTGACGACATGGCGACAACGCTCGCTATCCCGATCCCACGTCAGGCTAGGATGTGCTGTTTTGTTTCTGTTCATCGACAACCACCGCTCAACAGGCGTCAGACACTATTATCATCGCCGGCACTGAAGGCACTGCTTTCATCAATGGAGGTAGATAATATGCATGTATGAATCAAGGCCCTCGGTCTAAAAATCCATCATCATCGCCGAGACGCACGTGGCTGTCTCGAACCACACCGGTGCTTAGTCTTACAGTCTAAGTTGTGACCTGGCCCACAATGTCACTATTATGAAGGCGAGGTAAAACCCGACTGCCGCCCATATAGCAAATATGAAGCCCATGGCAACGGCCAGGCGGGGATACCGGGCCTTGTCGCCCAGATAGTCGATCCACGGCCGTACGAAGCGGCCGACCCCGGAACAGCCCGCCGCCGCCGCGAGCTGCTCCGCCCGCTTCTCCTCGATCACCTCGGCCATCTTCCACGCGACGGCGTTGTTGATCCTGTCCCAGGTCGCGTCACACGCCTGCCGCCTCGCCGCCTCTCCGAAGCGGCGCCTGCGGTCCGCGTCCCGCGCGAGCAGGACGATTTTGTCGGCGAACCCCCGCACGTCGGGCGGCGGCACCAGGAACCCGGTCTCGCCGTGGCGGACCACGTCGCTGGGCCCGCCCGCGTCCCTCGCGACGACGGGCACGCCGCTGGCCATGGACTCGAGCACCACGAGCCCGAACGTCTCGGTCACGGAGCAGTGCGCGAACACGTCGGCCGTCGCGTAGCTGCGCGCCAGCTCCTCGCCCGCCTGGAACCCCGCGAACACGACCCGGCCCTTGTCGAGCAGCCGCGCCGGGAACGACGCGCGGACGCCCTCGAGCACGTCGCGGCTGCGGTTCCCGCCCACGACGTGCAGCACGAACGGCACCCCGCCACCGCCGCCGTCGCGCCCCCGCGCGTCGAGCTCCGCGGCGACCGCGGCCAAAAAGTCCAGGCCCTTCTCACCCGCGATGCGCGTGACGCACAGCACGATGGCCTCGCCGCCGGGCGCTAGCCGCCGGCGCAGGGCGTCGCTGTGCTTTGCGGGGTTGAATAGCTCCGTGTCCACGCCGCGCCGGAGTAGGTGCAGCTTCCCCGGCGAGCCCACGGCGGCGCGGCCTTCGAGATAGTGGCGCACGTACGACGACGGGTAGAAGACGGCCCTGACCGAGGCGTGGCGGTACAGGAACCCCTCGACGGCCGCGAACACGGCCGCGGCCTGCCGGCCGAGCGGGCCCGGTAGCAGGATGGCGCAGTATTCTCCAAGCGCTGTCTGGAAGTTGGCGACGATGGGCACCTGCCTGCCGGCCCGCTGCTGCCGCATCTGCAGCATCACCTGGAAGCCCAGGCTTGCCGGCGACGCCAGGTAGACGAGGTCAGGCGGCCTGCCGTCGGCGCACGTCTGCGCGTACACCGTCGAGAGCCGCACGGGGTAGGCCACAGAGAGCTCGGGGTTGTAGGGCAGGGGGTAGCCTTTGACCCTGAATTCGGTGTTTCGCTGGTCCAGGGGAAGCAGAGGGCTACGGTGTGAAAGTGTCGCATCGGAGGGCGATATTCGTTGTTGTGACCGCACAGCTGGGACAAACGTGTTGTGTTTTGTGTGGTTATATGGCGCCACCACCCTCACGTCGACGCCGTTCTCCCTGAGGTGGTTGACTAGCATCAGCGTCGTCCGCGACACGCCGTTCACGGGGCCGAAGCTCTCTGTACAGAGAAGGATGCGTTTGTCACGCAAACTTTCGGGAAATTGGGAGATATCCATGGCGATGTTCGTAAGGCCAGTACCAAAAGCCACTCTGATGCGTTTGACTGTTGAGCACGGTTATCTCGGGCTTGGACGTTTGGACGGGATCTAGGGAGGGGCTCACCGCGAATTTACAGTCAACGAGTTCATATCTCCATAGACACGTGCCTCACCGCACAGGGAAGCTCTTCCCACCTGTATGCTAAGTCTAGCCCAAAATAAACACGGAATCTCTCGGGTCACTGGTTCCAGGGTCCAGAGCCACGCCAGAAGGGTCTCTCCTCCTTGGCCGCCATACCGGTTATGGGGCGGTTAGGGTGATGCTTAAAAGTTACTCCCAGCCATGCAGCCCTCTGCGGATACCTGTCTCCACAGAGAAAGCAAATGAGCGAGGCAAGACATCTGGATCCTGCTGCCCGGGCACGCGCCGGCGAGCGGGGTGAGCAGGAGAGGGCCGGCGACAGTGTGAGAGAGACACATGGTGGCGGCCGTGACTCGGATGGCTGACTAGTGGAATAGAAAGGCACTCGGGCAGTGTGTTGATGCTATTGGCATCCGTTCGTGGATGGTAGTTGGAGCCTCCAAAGTGATCTGGGAGGCCGTATCGAAGGAATAACGCACGAGGGCGCCATGATTGGCCCGCGATGCGTCAGTCGTGCCCCACGTTCTCGATCGAGCCCCACCATTACCCCCAACCCTCACTCTTAGCCAGCCTTTGCAATCCCTTTGCCTTCACCACCTACATCTCTACATCTCTGTCATGGGCCAGGCCTTCAGCCTGGCTTACTAGACCACCAATCTTGAAGCGAGCCCGCAATGCCTCCTTCCCGTCTTCTCCTGGATGGGGCCAGGCCACATGCGACCTTGCCACATCGCCATGTGGTTGCCGCTCGACGCAGCCGGCTCTGATTGGCCCATTCCAGGCGTGTGCGACAGCGACGCGATCCCATTGGAGCCGCCTTGTTGGTAGGCTGTAGGCAGCAGACGGGGATTCCTTATCCCACCTTGATGAATCGGCTTTGTCGCCCATCACGGGACCAGGTGGGAGCACACAAGGAGCACAAGAAACGCCCGGAGACGCCGTGCTCATCGGATCCGCTGTCTTTCATCCTTCGTCTTTTGCTGTCTCCGGTCGGGCTGGAAGCTAGAGGAAGCCACCGACCTAATATCTCTCGGATCCCTGCCTGTTTGGGGAACGTCGACTGCAGGGTGTTTGGCGTGAAAGCACCTAGAAGGCAAGTCACAGCAGTGCGTGGGCCATGTTGTTGTTCTCTCTTTCTCTTTTCAGGCTCCCCGTTGTGTCAACAGTGTTATTGGGTACACTAGAGCGCCTTTTTTTTTCGGTGCGCTTCTGCAGGATCGGGGTGCCGTACAGTCGTGTAAGTGGGTGGACTCGCAGGGCGCGCCGAGCTGAGACCACCCAAATTAGAGAGAGATCTATCCCATCAGCCCTCCACAAGCATGCGTCCCTCGCCTATCCCGGTCGCATAGCATGCCTTGCGTGGTCATAATGGGGAACACGAGGGTGACTCGGGATTCGCATCGAGCTAGCGGGGACGCACGAGGAATCACACATCGGGTTATCACTTTGCCCATCTAGAGAGGTACATAGGTGCCTGTCGTCATACCGTGGATAGTGTGCTCAAGCGCGCGTGCGGGTGCTGAGCTGTTTTTTATCAACCCTGTCCCGCTCTCTCGGCCTGGCTTTTGCGGCTCATGCCTTTGTCCTCTTATTCCCACCATATGCCGTCACTGTCTCTCCCTTCGGCTCCGGACGACCCCTCTCTATCCATCGCTGGCAGCACAAACTGGATGCCTTGAAAAGGGCCCTCAGTTTGCACTACCACATCCCACGGCACTCCCCTAGGTGCTTGACTCTTCTAATCTTTGTCTCCTTGCCGACTCTTTGACCGGCGGGCTCGTGTCACTGGCCACGTTGCCGTCCCTCATCGACGTCGCCCCCGCTCGCCCGTCGTGAGCGCGTTCCGGCACTTTCCACAGTTGGACAAAGCGAGCTGGTGGTACGGAGCGGCGGCCCCCAACTTCTTATCTCGTGCAGGTCATATAGGTCAGACTATGTAAGCCCGGCCGCTGAGCCTTGCCTTTTGTCTTGCGGTCATCGCCTGGCCCCGCCGTTTGCTTCTTGTCCAACATCTGACCGGCTCCCGCCTTCCCAGCAAGCGTGCGTGCCGGCACATCCCGTGGTTCTTTCTGCTCAGGGGCAGCGGCTCTCGTAACTTCCATCCATTGTCCCTGACGCTCCCGGGGACAAGGCCGATCGGGAGACGAGCATTAGCACGATGTGCGAGCCGAGGTCACCCAGCTGCCCACCTTGTGAGGGGACGGCAGGCCGCGTGGCCGCCTCCCACGGTGAAGGGTCGCGGGGGAATCTGCGAGTGTGCTCCCCGAGCTTGGGCCAGCAACTAGACAAACTTGACTTGGCTCTCAGTTTGCCAGCTCTGTCGCTGGACACTTCCTTCCGAGTATGGAATCCCTGCTACCCTGCCCTCAAAAGCACGCGCCGCGCACAAAGCACCTTTGATATTGTTTCTTCACCCCAATAAATCTTTCATCTCCAGGAGCTTCAGAGAAACTTCACACCACCCCCTCTTCGTATATCAACTCCTCCGAATCACAACCTTTCCCAACCAGCTCTGCACCAACCAACCTGCCTTCTCTTACCCCTCAACCTTCACCATCATCCATCCATCTCGGCTATCTGCCATCAATACCTGCCTTGCCATCAAACACGGCGAACATTACCCTAATCGCTTTCCCATTCACAGGATATATCGTCGCTCCCTTCATCAAGCACCATGGACTATCGTGTGCCGAACGGCGCCTCTGACGAGAGCGCTCTCGGCGATGCGTCGACTGCCCCGACCACGCCCGGAGGCAGTCTTTCCTTTAGCCCTGCACTCCAGCCTTTCCGCGACAGCGGCAACCATGACGTTGAGTCCGTCGCTCTCTCGAGCCATGCGGGCGGCTCGAACCCCACCAGTGACGATTCCAACGCGCCGGCCGTGGTCCGTCATATCTGCTGCGTTGGCGCGGGCTATGTTGGTAAGTGATGCGCAGCGATATCATTCCCCTGATTGTCTCATATACCGGGTGCCTGGGTATCATATCTATTTCCATCACCTGGCTTATGGCCTTCACATCAGCTTTGCTCTTCTCCACCCCCACCCTCTTTCCCTTTCCCTATATCGTACCCTTTTTGCTCACCAAGAATCTCCATAGGTGGACCGACGGCTGCTGTGATTGCCTCACAGAACCCGAACATTCGCGTGACTGTCGTCGACCGCGATGAGACGCGCATCCGACGCTGGAACTCGGCCCACCCGCCCATCTACGAACCCGGCCTGGCCGAGATGGTCCGCCTGGCTCGCGATGGCTCCCGCGAGTGCACCTTCGACAACCTGCCAGCCGGATCGTCAAGCCTCGCCGCCGCGGCCGGTAGCGATGTCAGGGCCAAGATCACGCTTCCCGCGCGCAAGCCCAACCTCTTCTTCAGCACCGAGATAGCCGAGTCCATCGGCACGGCGGACATTGTCCTCATCGCCGTCAACACGCCCACCAAGACGCAGGGCAACGGCGCCCACCGCGCCACCAACATGGCCGCCTTCCTGGCCTGCACCGAGATGGTCGCAAAGTACGCGCGCCCCGGCGCCATCATCGTCGAGAAGTCGACCGTGCCCTGCGGCACCGCCGACATGCTCAAGGAGACCATGGCGCGCCACCGCCCCGGAGTCAAGCTCGAGATCCTCTCCAACCCCGAGTTCCTCGCCGCCGGGACCGCGGTCGACGACCTCGTCTACCCGGAACGCGTGCTGATCGGGTCCGCCGAGACGCCCTCGGGCAGGCGGGCCGCAGAGGCGCTGGCCTCGGTCTACGCCGCGTGGGTCGAGCCGGCGCGCATCCTGCGCACCAACGTCTGGTCGTCGGAGCTGGCCAAGCTGGTGGCCAACTCGATGCTGGCGCAGCGCGTCAGCAGCATCAACTCGGTCGCGGCCGTGTGCGAGGCCACGGGCGCCGACGTGGGCGAGGTGGCCGCCTCGGTCGGCATCGACCCGCGCATCGGCGCGCGCTTCCTCGGCGCCGGCATCGGCTTCGGCGGGTCCTGCTTCAAGAAGGACGTGCTATCGCTCGCCTACATCGCCCGCGCAAAGGGCCTGCCCGAGGTGGCCGACTACTGGGAGCAGGTGGTCAAGATGAACGAGTACGCGCGCGACCGCTACTCGGCCCGCGTCGTCGCGGCCCTGCACAACACGCTCTCGGGCACCAAGATAGCCGTGCTGGGCTACGCCTTCAAGAAGAATACAAACGACACGCGCGAGTCGCCCGCCCTCGAGATCATCCGCACCCTGCTCGCCGAGGGCCCGGCCGAGATGGCCGTCTACGACCCCTGCTGCAACCCGGCCGCCGTGGCCGACGAGATCCGCCAGCTGTGCCGGCCCGCCGCCGTGCTCAAGGCCGACGGCGGACCCCTGGTCGTGTGCTCAGATCCTGTCGAAGCCTGCGACGCCGCCAACGCCATCCTCGTCGTCACCGACTTTGACGAGTTCCGCAACACCAAGAAGCAGCAGCAGCTGCCCCTGCACGAGGACCCCAAGACCGCCGCCGCCGGCATCGACGACACCAAGGGCCGTCCCGCCGACCCTCGCCCCTTTAGGGCCGCGGCGGCGTCGCCCACGGAGCTGGACGTCCTCGCGCTGCACCGCCACCTGGTGGCCAAGAACGACGCGGCCGACGACCCGCTGCAGCGCTTCGAGGCGGCCCCCGCGTGCGCGCCCGACTGCCCGGACTGCAGGGTCCCCGAGCACGAGTACAACGCGACGACGCGCGCCTACAAGCCCAAGGGCCAGCTCGACTGGGTGCGCATCGCCGAGTCCATGCGCCAGCCCAAGCTGGTCTTTGACGGCCGCGGCGTCATCGACAAGGTGGAGATGGAGAAGCTTGGCGTCCATGTTGAGAGTGTGGGCCGCAGGGGCCGCTACTGAGATTGTGGACGGCATTCGTCTCTTTACGCCGCCTTGTTCAAGATGGTCTTGAGGCATTCTGGCACATCATGTTTATCGATTCTTTCTTGGGTTTTCACTTTCACATCATGTCTTCGTTCTGCGGGCGTCGTTCCCGCCGGCGTTGTGGCGCTCTGACTTGGCTTTGCTTTACCATGATATTCAGAGGGATCGGTCTTGAGACCAGTATAGACCCTTGCTCTTCGTTTTCTTTCTCGTCTCAACCATCAGCATTGCCGCTTTGAGAAGCTGTTGTGGCATTGAAGGCTGCCGAGCATACTCGCATGGGCAGGATGGAGCATATGGCGTCACCAGGGATGCAGGGGAGTTGATTCCGGATTTGACGAATTCTACGAGATACCTTTCTTCTTTGCGATATTTTCTGCCTTTCGAGTGCCTGACAAGAGATGAGGTTTCCACTGATTCTATGCTACGAACTGAGATTTGATACCCCTTACGGAGAGACTCGCACTCCTATGTTCTGAAGCCGTTGACTGAGGGGTTTACTGTGTTAAGACGTTGCGTTTTATAACATGCAGATACCCATACATGTATCTATACGCTGCTTTTAATTGTGGCGTTGCATCTCAGCAAGCAAAGGAACCTCTATAGGACGGAGAACTGACTCCTGCTTGTAGTGCACTCAAACCAGATGGTACAGAGAATCAAAGTAGGCTGTCCCTGAAACGTGCATCTCCTGAGAGGTGTCAAGATATGTGCCCGATTCCCATGCAAAGCAACGTCAGGTTCCCAAATGGCAGGCGGGTTTTCCAATAGAAATGGCAACGGCGTCTTCACCTCGGATCACCCGCTCTGAGGCTGCCGATGTAGTGTTGTGGCTCGACCAATCTGGTGCGGTGGTTTGTGAGGATGCCGTTTTTTCGACTTGTTGAAACGAGGAAGCCTGTTTCCTAGCTGGGATGCGCATAAAATACTAGATATGCCCGTACGAGGCTAAGCTGTGGGCAGAATAAGAATCTCGGTGCCTGGTTGGTGGCTGTGAAGGTGTTGTTGGTTGGTCTAACAAAACTGCGCCGAGTGGCAAATAGGAGTGCATCGTTAGCAAATAGCGAAAGCATGAGCCAAGAAACGTTCCAACATCCACTAGGCAGATCTCCTGTTTTTTTTTTTGGACGAAGCTCTCGATTCGAACAAAATCAGTCCTTCGTGTTCTGCTGTAGTACATCTGATGTTATGCTCGGTATTCGGCCTGAGACATTATCCCGCATGACGTGCCAAAATGGCTAGTATCGTCTGACCTCCACCCGCACCGAAGCAACCAGAGCCCGCTGACATGCAGGTCACGAACTAGGAGGGGCGGTGGCTAACAAGCTCGGGACCGCCGGACCTAGGGGGCGAACAGTTCTTCTAGAAGCAGCCCCCCCTTGACAGGCTCTCCGACCAAGAACCGCCAAGGCATTGAGACCATCTTGTCAGAGTGACGGGCAACGCATGCAAGCCAAGCCTGGAGCCGCAGCGCTGCAGCTTCCATCAAATCAGGTGCCGCATCAGTAGTGAGGTCTTCAATACACTCCCCCCTAGGGCGCCCTAACCTGCTGCCTGAGCCGCGCTTGTAGTGGGCACGGCACGCTCTTTTTTCATATTATCGTTGGCCAAGAAAGCTCCGCCTCATGGAATGCCAACTCCTCAATTGCTTAGCTAGCGACTTCCCGGGGATCACGCACGTCCTCTCTACCAAGACAACATCTCGGGCATGGACATTCGTAAGCATGATCTCAAGGTGTGGGACGAAAGCGAGCCCAAGTGCCATGGATATATAGAAGCCTGTCACCTCCCCATCTGGCACGCCATGTTTCAACGTGGTCACCTGGGTAAGCGCACATACACATCAAGTTCATAATAAGCCGCCCATAAAAAGAACATCCTCCCGTTTAGGAAATTCCTCCAAACCTGTATACACAACCGCCCGTAGCCCTCTAAACCAAGCCCGATAGCATCAGTACACATATCCACATACCGCCCAAAACACTGCCGTCATGTCGGCGTCGGAATACTACGACACGACCAAGCAGTTCGGCTCGCAGCCGTACCAGGAACCTCAATACCAGCAAGGCCCCCCTCCTCCATCAACGCCCCAGCAGCAGCAACAGCAGCAGCAGCAGCAGCAGCAGCAATACCTGACACCTTACACCCCACAACCCCCCTACGGCCCGCGCCCAACGTCCGCGCACTCTGCAGCGCCGCCCTACCCTCACCAGCGCCGCCCCGACAGCCCGCCATACGAGCCGCGGCCCGCGAGCGCGCAGGACTACCGGGAGTCGCGCGAGGTCGGCCACCACCACCACCATCGGCGGCGACAGTCGAATCACCACCACCACCATCATCACGGGGACGGCGACCGCGGCCTCGTGTCGACCGTGGTGGGCGGGGGCGCCGGCGCCTTCCTGGGTAGCAAGGTCGGCGGCGGCGGCAAGCTCAAGATGGCGCTGGGCGCCGTGGCGGGCGCCGTGGCCGCAAACATGGTCAGTAACGCCATCAAGGACCACCGGCACCACCACCACCACCACTATCGTCCCCATCATCATCACAGTGGCAGTGGCGGGCTCGTGGGCATGATCCCTGGGTTTAGGGGCCACAACGACTATTATGAGCATGGTCTCCCCGATCGCCGTAGTGGTCGTCACGCCTGGTAGGCACATGTTGGGCTATTAATGGGACGATTCTTCATGTCACGATTTCACGACATCTCGGGATACATGATCTGGGTCCATTTCTGTGGATGGCGTTTCAAGTTTTTGGTCTTTCTCATGCCCTTTTACCCTACACCTAGCTTCATAGGCAGCCGCCATCTTAATGATACCCATGACCGCCCACGACCCTACGATCCCTTGCTGTCTCAAGTCATCTTTTATGACTGCCATTATATTGAAGACATGTCTCCCTAGGTACATACCTACCTAGGAGCCTACTTTGACACGTTCGAATGGGCTTGCGGCTCTGCGCAATCGTCCCTACTTGGAGATTCGAGAGTTCCAGCACTAAATTCCAGTGCTGAAGGACAAGATATGAAATAGCGAAAGCACGCTGATGCGAGTCCATCATGAGAACAGGGGATTCATGCCACTGTATTTGTCAACAACACTGATGAAAGCAAAGAAGCAAAGGACGTACAAGAGATAATATGTGAATGACCCTGGAATCAGTGGAGCCAACGCCAGTTATCCCCATGAATGCACCGAGCCTCATCCGCGAAGAGCAGATGGCATGGACGACATAGAAAAGTATATCCTTTGAGGAACTCAGAAAATGGATGCCATTCGTAATCATCGTATGAAACATGGAGAAATCGAGACATGGAAATATGACGAAAGAGCCGTTGACAATGAAGATAAGCAAGAGAGATGGCCAGTGAAGGCAGCGCCGAAAAACAGATGCGAAGAGATATTGCCCACATATCAGCCCGCTAAGTATGAGGGGCGGATGGCTGGAGTTGGATAGGGATGGACTTGACAGGGAGGCAGTCATGCTCGTTTAGATGGGATGGCTGGGAGGCATCTGCGTGTGCTATGTACGGCGTTGCAATGCATGGAGTAGAGAATGCAGATGGGCTGGCAGTTCGATGGGGCGAGAAATAAAGATGATCAGAATGCTCCGCAAGTGATGATTTTTGCTAACGATCAAAACAGTTGTCTTGTGTGATGTGTCCTTGGGCAGTTCAGAGGCAGGCATCCGGGTAGTGGGTTGGGAATGCTGGTGCGGAAAGGCATGTGGATATCATGATTGGAACGCATCAAGTCCTCACCACGCCAGGCCCCTCCCGGCGAACTGGAATTTGTATCTCACCCTCGGAGTCCGAAGACTCCTCATCCATGCAGCGATCCAGCATCTTGTCAATATCGGCTTCTGCTAGGCCGGGGCGTCGTCTTGATGTCACACTGAGGCCCGACGGAACCGAGAGCGGCATCTTCTGCCGTGGATGGGCATGGAAATCGCCATTGGTTCTTTGCCTCGGCTTTCCTCGTGATGCGTGCGGGCTGTATTGATCGTCCACATCCATCTCGCTCAGATTGCTTGGCGATTTGTCGAACCCGACCCTCTTGGTCGGCTGCGAGCTGGGCGGTGGCCTCCCGGCAGGGAGGCTTTTCCTAGGCTGGCCCGTTGGCAGGGCTGTACGCTGGCTCCCGGATGCTGTTGCCCCCGTGCGTGTTGACACGACCGGCTGGGAGGACGAGGGCGTGAACGAGTGCTTCATGTTTGCAGAGTTTCCTGGACTGCTCATGAAAAGAAGGGACTCTATGGCGTCCTGCTCGCGAACGTTTTGATGGGGCGAGAATAGGATGGGGTCAACAAGTGGTGTTCGCGCAGTCGTCTGTCGTGGCGTGCCATTCATCGAGCTGGCATCGGCGGGCGTCCTGGGACTTGCGTAGTGGCCGGAATGTGACAAGAACGTAGGCGTAAATGCCGGGTTTGAGTTGCGCCGAGGATGAACCACTGAGCGTGAGGGCTGTATGGAGACTGCAGGTGCGAGGGAAGGGGCGGGCTTCAGACGAGGGGGTGGTGACATTGCAGAAGTAGCGTATGGCCTGCTCGCGAGAGAGCCAGATCGGTGGTGTTGGCGACGCTGATGCACGCTAGGGAGAGGTGCCGGGCCGCCTGCTGTGGGAGAGGTGCTATCGGTGCCCCGCGAGGACGCGCTGTGGAGGCGGGGACTGGCCGACGACCCCTGGCGGCCGTGAAGCGTCGAGGCTGTCGAGCTCGGCGAGGCGGCCCGAGAGGCAAGAGTCTCGACTTGCTCAATGTTGTGGGATTGCCACCCATTGTTGACTTTGACCATGGCGTACGACAGACGCGCCTTGAGCTCCGCAGAGAGCTACAGCAGAACAAGGCACAGAGACACACGTCAGCTTTGCGACAAGCAGATACCACGTAGCAGACTCAAGATGTACTGCCTCGGGTAGCTCGCGGTAAGACATGTCGCGCTCCCAGCACACGATTGACTAACCTCTCCGATACGGCTCCCTGCGGTCGACGCAATGCTAACTGAGCTAGGGTTGCGGGAGTGGCCGCCACCGTTGCCGCCACTGACGCCACCAAACACGGGAGACGCGCTGGACGAGTCGCGCGTGTGTTTCACGGCCCCGTCGGCCATTCTTTTCCGGGAGGAGCCAGGGCCGACGGGGCTGGTGAGCATGTCGGCGTCAACGGGCATTTTCTCCTGGGCGGCAGCCAATTGCGAGAGCTGCAGTAGCTGCGACTCCTGGCTGCTGGCACTGTTGGTGTTGGCCCCTTCGCCATTCCCCCCACTCGTGCCACCATCGCTGGCGCTGGCTGGCGGCGTGAATGCGCTGCTGCTGGGAGCCGAGTCGTTGTTGCTGGACACAGAGCTAGCGTTGGTGTCCTGGGAGTTCGCATTGGAGTTGGAAGGCACGCGGGCCGCTTGCGCCGGGTTGCCAGCGCGAGCTAGACGGTCGGCGGGGGCGGCATGCGAGGGGGCCCTGTCCGCGGCGGAGGAGTGGGAGCTGGCAATAGTGTAGTTGGTGTTGTTGCTGCTGCTCAGGGAGGAGCCCGGAAAGCCCGACGACGCGGCGTGCCCGGTGAGGGGCTGCGTGTAGGCCGGGTGGGTGTCCGTACCGCGGAGCGAGGGGAGCGAGAAGACGGCCCGGCGGCTGTTGTCGGGAGCAGGCGCGTCGGGGTGCTGCTGGTCACGGGCGGAGGCGCGGTCGCCGTGCCTCGGTGGTGCTCCGTTCATGGTGGTGGCAGGCTACGACGGCGTGGCAGTCGGGCTCGCAGCAAGACGCGACGAGATTGTCGCGGGCTGAAGTGGTGGGAAGCAGTGACAGTGGCAGTGGCAGTGACCGGCGCGGTGGCCTTGGCCGTGGGCGCCAGGGTGGGGGCAGACGAGCCCTGGTCGAATGGAGGCCGTGTGGTGCGTGGTGGGCGTGTCCAGTCTGGCGTTGCTCATGACTAACCCGAGGTGCGGATGGGGCCCTCTCACGAAAATACAATGGAAAGGAGCCGTGACGGCAGCGCTGGCTTGGACGCAAACAATCGGGTGGCGACGATGGCAGGACGGCGACGTGGAAATCCCAGAGTGGCCACGACACTTGACATCAATATGGCGTCTACTGCGAGTCGCTGTTGAGCGCGGGCCGCTGGGTGCGAGTCTGGTGGGAGCTGGAGCTGGGGCGGAGCCGTCAGGCCTGGATTTGCGAGATTTGGTATTTGGTTTTGATTTCCAGCGGTGCTTTCTTACGCGGTTCGCGACGCAGCACGCAACTGGCGCACCCGACCGAGACCAGCCGGTTGGCCGCGCTTGGGCACTGTGCCCCCCGGGCCTCTGCCACAGTGCGCTTTCTGCCCCGCTCGGCTTGCTCTGCTGTCGATTTGGCAGTGAGCCAATTCCATGCTCGACTAAAAAAGCCCCTCCTGACGCGGCCTTTGCTGTTTGGCACCTGCTGCCGGATTGACCCGTGACGCATCCTGCCGTGTCTCAATGTCTCCATTTCCCATTTCCCGCAGCATGCGATTTGCTGGCTCTGCCGTCGCTCACACAAAACACTTTTTAGAGACCAATCCATCATTGATCCAAATCCTGCTGGGTTTTGCCCTTTCGCATGCGGGAGCTCTTCGAATAACCCGGAAGCTGTGTTTTTTTTTTTCCTTTCGTCAACGCCACCTCAACAACCGTGCAGGGGTCGCGCACCAAATTGCGTGCTCAGTTCTTGGCGTCCAAGAAGCAAGAACACCTGGCATGACTCAGCCGAGCCAGGGCCAGCCAAACACGAAGTCACGTGACTTTCGGGCCGTTCCCCGGTGTCCACTTCGGCGCGGCTGTTGGTGTGCCCGATCCGACAGCTGGCCGCTTCGCCGGGTGGAGGGATGGCTGCCTGCCGGAGACATACCATCCGCGTTGACTGCAGACGCTTTGGGCACTGAGGGGCACCGCACCGCAATACTCCACAAAGTGAAGCCAGAAGCTCCTGTTATTCACAGCCAACACCAACAACCCTATCCTGCTTGTTTGCTCATGGCTACGGTGTGGGTTTTCTTTGTAAATCTCACAACGACGCCCTTTTGGCATCTACCCGCTTCGCTCTCCACACAAACAAAACCGCCCTCGCCAGACACAAACACAATGTTCCCGCCCCCTACCCCTGAATAAAGTACTTCAAATACTTGCCCCCATGCAGATATCCGTCCACCATGATTCCAACCGCAAGGCAGACAAATATGCCTATGGCCAAGGTCAAAAACCCAAGCACCCAGACCATGACCAAGCGGCGCTCTATCGCACGCCACTGTAAGTGGCGTTCCAGGTGCCCCGTAGTAGGATCTTGCACTAGCGATGTGAAAATGCCGGCCACGGCTCTGGTCTCGACCTGCGGCGACTGACGCGGCCCCGAGTACGGCCACTCGCTGACGGCTGGATCGTTGGTGAACGACGAGCAAGTACTGGAAAGTGATTGCGTGTCGAATTCTTTTGGCGGACCCGCCTTGGTACTGTTATCCATGGTGCCATAAGACATGATGCCGTAATGCTTAGCCACGTGAGGGTGATGGCTAGCTAGTACGATAGAAGGCTTGCCCGGTCGCCAGTGATGGCTTGCTTGCGTTGTTTGTTTGATAGTGAAGGCTCAAGATTCCGGGACCTGCTGTCACTGTTTTGATCGACCCGGTTTCCGGCAAGGGCACTGAAAGTTATATTCCAATGCTGGCTTTTCCTATTCTGCCTCCTCTCGGGAGAGGAGTGCCTTTATGGACCTGCTGAAGCGCCCTTTCGGAGTTGGGAACCATGATCAGAGATAGCATTCGGACGAGCTGGGTCTGATGAAGGATGAAGCTGGGCGGGCCGGTGTAGAAGCAGGCTTGGAGCAAATCCAGTGCCAGACTGAAAAGTTTGGCGAAGCCATGCGCTGAGGGCAACAGAGGAAACTTCACACGCTTGCACAGATTTTGTGGCACGCAGACAACAACCGATTTGATGGCCCCACGAATATATAGATCGGTACCTCCTTAGGTACAACCAGCTCTTACACCTTAAGGTTCCGTCCCGTCGCGATTCACCCTGCGTTAATTTGCATCGACGCGCCTCTCACTTGCCTAACTTCCTCTTTAGCCTTGCCTTGGCGCATGATACCTTCCACAACCAGTCCTCCCTGAAATGCTCAACGAGTTTTTTTTAGGAAGCAACGCGGAGAGGTCACAGTTCTTGCGTTTTAGTATTTCAATGCCGGCCGACCCTGTTCGCATCATCTCCACTTGAGTGAGCACAAAGATACAAGCCCAGCTGCGGCACCGTCTTCAATACTCCATAGCAACTTGCACGAAACGAAAGCTCCCACATCTTTGCTCTTAATTAGGGCATGACAAGACCAGTCACACCTGGCCTTGATAAATATACAGCACCTCGCCCCCAGCGCCATGAGCTACGCGTCTCCAGCTCAAGAACGGCCATCACTCCCCCAACCAAGGCCTCTATCGCAAATGGCACGAACCTTTCTCGGATGGGGCGTGCCATCTACGCCGACCACGGTCTCAAGTGACCTTGCCAATCGCCAAGCCCAGCCCCCGATCAAGCTTCCGGAACTTCGCTCGCCTAGTCCTCCGAGGTCGCTCCCAAGTGTTGACGCCATCCTTGCCAGTGTCCAGGGCATCGAGTTCGTCGCCGTGGACGACACCGAGAACAGCCCAGACCCCAGTGGCATCGCCGTCCACGACTACACTAGCCTCATACCCTCGCACACGCCGCTGGAGGGTATTTCGTGGGACGGAACCGACCTGGAAGGAGTAGAATGGATCGGCATGTCCGAGGAAGCAATGCAGAGCCAGAACGAAGACCTCGAGCAGAAGCTGGGCCGCCTGTGCTCTGACGGTGGCCGGAAACTGAGGGCCAGCCTTGTGGAAAGGTTTGGTGAGTGGGAAAGCAACGGCAACGGCGACGATGGATAATAACCGTCCAACAAGGGACGTGCCAGCTATCGGCATCATCTGCCCATACCGACCGCAACGTGTCTCAATCGCGAAGGCCCTGCAAAAGATGCCGAAGGCAGACCTCATGCCCGAAATCACCGAGACACGCACACTCGCTCATCGATGGCGCAAGAATGGGACTACGCCATCGTAATATCCCCACCAACAAGCCTGCCCGCCCTCCCAGGCAATGGTATCCGCTGGAAGCCTCCGGTCGGAGAACCGCCGCTCATCTTCTGGACCGAAGAAACCGCTCTTGGCCCCGAGAAGAGTCTGCTCACGCCTTGCTCGATCCTGACCATGACCAATGAGGATATGGCCAACTTCTGCATTCACGCGAATGACACCATTCCGAGGGTCGTGGACTATGCGAACTGATGCATTGATTCGCCCAACCTCGAGTGCAAGGCTGAGCATGTCGTCTGGATCGGCACACGCTTCCCTCCACCGGTCCTGGTGACGGGGCTGTTAGACCTCAGCACCAACAATCCATGGTCGCTCAAGGTCAAGGATGTTGCCTCGGATGACCAGTGCGACGAACGACCGGGATTCACCAGTGCCATGCACAGCATGGTCATGAGCCTCAGCCCGAGCCGACTGGGATCATAATCATCATGCCCGAGACGGTGCGGAAGGGCAAGAGCACGGGCGACCGAATGATAGCCAAGCCACTGATGATATCCCTATGCTGGACCAACCTCTTCGAGACACAAGGCCGGCACATCAACGCCGCAATCACCGAAATGTCGCGAACCAGGCCAGTCAAGGTCACCTTTGGCAACCGCCGACGGGCAGGCCTGAGAGCGCTGGCATCGCGGAAAGTCCCCAGCATTGCCAGGCCTCGGATGCTGCTTATACCTCGTCGCCAGGTCTCCATCGTGCCCGGCACGACATGCTCGCTTTTGACCCTGAACGGCGCGTACTATTCGTTCAACGGTGTCACTTCCGGCACGGGCAAGCGACCTGTCCTGACTCAGCCCTTCCTCCCTTACCCACCGGCATTGGCAGCGCCAGCTAGATCAAGCCAACCAGGCTCTGGCTGGGCAGCAAGCTCCGTCTCAGTCGGGTTCTGTCAATGATGACGCGATTGTCATGGCACCCTGCCTCGACGAGCCGACCCTGGGAATCTCGATGCTGGATTCTGGTATATTCGCCTCCGAGCACAGGGCCTGGCGCAATGGAAGTGGGCTGGCGTGGGGTGGGATATTCGACAAAAACACTCTGGGCGGCAGCACCAATTTGGCCTTCGCGACCCTCGATAGGCCGAGCAAAGGGAAAAGGCTCGAGTCGCTCACTTGTTGTACCTGTTTATCCATCCCTAGCTCCCGGCCATCCTTGCCCAGGGTTGGAGAGACCTCGGCAGCACGGAACATACAATTGAGCCTCGGCCACACACGAGAAGACTGCTTGCATCCATAGTCGAGGGTGGAAGGACGACGTCATCAAAGCATTCGAGCTTCCTTGAAAGGAGACAAGCCTGGTTGTTATTAACCTCCCTGGGGATAGAGGCTGAAGACATCGTCGATATCACCATCCGGTTTCGCCGCCGATGGCTATAGGGGGGCCGCCTTGCATTTCGGGCGCGCCAATCATAGAGGACATCTCGCGTGTCGTCGCAATGGCCCTCGTTGGCGTTGGCGAAGCTTGCAACCTCCGAAATTAGCTTCTAAGTGATTATGTTATCCATTGCGCCATGTTCCTTGGAAACTTGGTGCTGGGATTGCGTCCTCTCATCTCCTGGTACACCAAATCGACGTATGCTGGACTAAATCTCTTGAGAGTCTCGTGATTTGGAAAGAGGTCTTCCGGAATGGGCGTGCTCAGCAAGACAGCGAGAGCAGTGCAACAGGCGAAGTCCCGGCGCGGAAAGCAGGGGTGCTGTTTAGAGGCAACCTTTGTGCGTAGCGATGAAGACAGCGGCGAGGGTCGCAACCCCGTCGAGGATGGCGATGTTATGCTCGACGTAGTTAAGCTTTTGGGTGATGGCATCGACCTTTTTGGATGATGTTCTTTGGAGTCTACATCGTCAACGTCAAAATCAGCGAAGTCGCTCTGCCCAGACCCCTTCCGTCAACTCTTGCACCAACCATCAACGCCTTTTCCGACCAACACGCCCGACCATCCATAAATTCTTCTGCCAACAACCATCACTCAAGCACCCACCACCCAGCCAGCGTCTTTTGATCGCGCGCTTGACACACTATTTTGCCATCTAATTGCTTGCCAGTTGCTGGTAGAAGCGTGGTACTTCTTATTTGTAAGCTCGGAATGCTCCTATTCGGGATAAATCACGATCACTACTCATGTAGGGGATAATTACCGTATTATTATGCACGAAGGGGAAATGATCTATCCAAATGAGGTAAAGTAGCAGAGCAAGTGTATACACATGACCCAGATCACCAAAGGCCTGTGGCTCCGCTCTTATAATCCGTGTGCTGGTGCTTAGGTCTCCAGGGGCCTCCAGGCCTTCTGCCATTTTACCAAGACATATCCATTCCGGCCGGATCCAACACCACTTTCCAATTCCTAGGTCCCGAATAGCATCATGGCTGGTCAATACGGTAACATGGTAATTTGCCAGGCCTTAGATCCGCTGCAACGGAAGCCCTCCTGGGCTGGCGCATCAGGGAACGCATATTTTTGCACCTTGAGAGACCGCGGTCTAGGGAGATAACCTTTGGGAGACCACGAATTTTACCGAATTTGGGTCTGTTTTCTGGGATATGGTCGAGCGCTCTCTTCATGGCCACTGCTGCAGGGAGCAGGGTCTATTGCACCTAAGCACATCGGCTCTGCGCCCTGCATCCTACCGTGGTGTTGCTCGGGCCTCGTTCCACCGATTTTAGTGTCGCCGGGTCTCTGAGTCTGATCCAGCCTGGTATTTCCCCCGTGCGCCTGAAAGAGAAGAAATGGGGGCCCAAGCCTGCCACGACCAGCCTTATGCAGAAGAGGAAGCGGGAGAAGAAGGAGAACAGGCAGGATGGGCTGAAATTTGCAAAGAAGGGAAACTAGGGGGTGTCACGCTCTCAACTCCAACTCTGTTTCATTCAAAGAACTTGGTGATTCTGGTCATCTTAACCGTTCTAACTCCTTATGTCCTGGTACAACTTCGGGGTGTGGGTGCCAGGTTGGTGATGCAGTGGTGAAGTAACCACCCACCGAGAGGCATAGGCTAGCATGCATGTACTTGTTGCGGGATTCTTTCAAGTCTTCGAGAAGGAGAAATTTGCGGTCTGACCCATGCATATTCCGAATCAACGGGCTCATAGAACAGCATTGCATATCGTGTTCACGTCCGTGAGAGATGGGGGGGCTAGGTCGATGTGACTTACCGGGCAGCCCTCGGTTGTTGCCTCCACACGTGCCTCCCTGCTGCCGGATAGCCGAATTATGGAGATGGGAAGGGGAAAGTACGGAGGACGGAGGACGGTAGATGTAAATGCGAATGGCTATAAATGCAGGGCATCTTGTCGTATATTTCCAGTATATCTTTTTTTTCGCAAGGCCTTTCTATCACTCTTGAGCCCATTCCTACTAGCACTCGAACACCTTTGTATCTTCTATTAGTCTGCAATCTGTCTCGGCAAGCAATCATCCCCTCTCCCTTTTCAAGATGCGCCTTTCCGCGGCCCTCGAATGCTTCGTCGGTGGTTGGGCTGTCCTCAATGGAACCATAAGGCAAGACACGCAACAGCTTTGAGAGAGACAAAGGTTGAGCGGTACATCTAATCTGGGCGCAACCTGTAGGAACACCGTCACTGACGAGCTGGCTCCCGACTGGCATGGGCCGTATCCATCGGGCATCTCGGTGTACGGACCGAACAGTTATTTTAGCTTCATGATTACGTCCAACGATACGACCGACACGCAATACCGACCACGCGACGTGACGCTGCCTGCGAAGTCAAACGACAGCCTGGAGCACTGGGCCATCGTGGCCCAGCACAGCGTTGCTGCAGGCGGGCCGGCCACCTTCGTTAACGTGACGGGCCGGTGCGGAGGCGGGATAGGCAGGAAGCGCGGCGGCGATGGCGCCAAGGGCACCATGCACACGTTGTATACAACATCGACTCTTCCGGCGTGGTTCGGGTTCGAGCAGGACGTACAGTTCGAGTTCCACGACGGGGGCAACCTGCACATGTTGCAGTCGTATGTTGGCCAGGACCTCCTGCAGACGTCCTGGTTCAAGAAGCTCCCCGATGTGCCGAGCTCCCGAGACGGGGCGCACTGGAGCATTGGCCAAGATGGAGATTGCGCGTAGATTAGTTTACACGTTCCAGGTTGCTGGTCCACACGAGAGTCCGTGTTTTCTCAACCAACCGCTCTGGCTGTTGGCGTAGAGTGCATGTGCGTTTGGAGAATGTGGGGTCCAATTGGAGGGGTGGAGGAGCTCGCCCACTTTTTGGCGGGGTGCTTCCCGTATTTGCCCAACGGGAGCACACTGTGTTAAACGGAGCAACCACTACCCAGCAAGCCCACCTTGACTTCTGATCTCATATCTTTGAGCTTCCACTGCGCAGCTCCAAACGCACCGCCTGCTGCCACAATCCGATTTTGACGACAGTGCCGCGCACAATACCAGTGCTCGAAATTGACGACCGATAGCCCGCTCGTCTTGGTCCGCGGCGGGCGGTCAACCGGCGCCTGGCATCGACGACATCAGCAAGGCGGGGAGGCACCAAACGCGGCCTTGCTCTTCTGCCTGGGGAGCAAGCACCGTGGCAGCCTGGCCACCCTCACCACAACCGCCACCACTACCATCACCGGCCGGCCGATTCGACCCAACGCCGCCCATCATGGCTTCCTCGAACCAGCGCAACCCGTTCATGTCGACACACAAGTCCGACTCGGACCTCCACATCATCCTCCACCCCCTCGTCCTCCTCACAATCTCCGACTATATCACCCGCCACACACTGAGAGGACAGACCCAGCCCATAGTAGGTGCCATAATCGGTCGCCAAGATGGGCGCGCTATAACTATGGAGCACGCTTTCGAGTGCGCCGCCGAGCCCAACATCACAGGAGGCGGCAGACTGGTGGAGCCATGGTTCACCGAGCGCCTAGATCAAAGTATGACCCTTTCCGTCTTGGGTGTTTCCGCCGCCGAGGGGTATGCGTCTGATTTGCTTGCTGACTTTCTGTGCCCGAAGTGAGACTCGTTCACAAAGACCGCGGACTCGATCTTGTTGGCTGGTACACACTCCTCCCACGCTCTGGGCCCAACTCGGAAGTTCTCCTGTTACATAACCAGATACTGGCGAACAATGAGTCTGCGGCAATCCTGGCCGTCCACCCGGATGAGATTGTCGCGGGCGGAGCCACCGGCGGCAGGCTGCCCATCTCTCTCTACGAGACCGTTTACGAATCGGAGGAGCAGAGAAGAGACGGCGGCGAGGATAAAGTGATGAAAGACGGCGACGATGCCGACGACGATAGCGCGACCCCTGACCCGGTCGCGCTGGCTGCCTCGTATACCAACATCCGTTTCCGCGAGCTCCCGTACTCGGTCGAGACGGGAGAGGCGGAGATGATTAGTATGGACTTTGTGGCGCGCGGCGGCGCCAACGCTACCACATCGACTACCACCGACCCGCAGCAGCAAGGACCTGGGGACGAACAGAAGAAAAAGCAGGTGCCGTCACAAGTCAAGGTCGACGTCAAGGGCAAGCGCCGTGCCGTAGCCAAGGATGAAGAAGACGACGACGAGGCGTCGACAGCCGCTGGCGCAATTGAGCCTGCTGTTCTCTCGCGAGACGAGGAAGAATTGGTGGCGACGCTTGCCACCAAGGCGAACGCTATTAGGATGCTTCACGCACGCATCCAGCTCATCATCAAGTATCTGGAGGGCCTTCCCCCCTCTTATCTCACTACCAGTGATCAAGCTCCATCAGACTCTGGAGCTGCCACAGAAGCCGAGGCTATACCAACATCGACAGCCTCGACCGAGGGCGCGGCCGGGGCAACTGCTGAAGGGCTACCGGTAAGCTCTGCCTCACCTGCGCCGCCGCCGTCGCCCACGCTACTGCGGTCGATCCAGGCACTCGTCAATCGCATCCCGCTGCTGATTCCCTCGACGACGGAGGCATTCGAGCGTGAGATGCTGAGCGAGGCCAATGATGTGCACATTGTTTCCCTACTTAACGACGTTATGCAGAGCGTCAATGATCTGCGTGATCTCGGCAAGAAGTTCCACGTTGTTGAGCAGTCCAAGAATCGGAGGCAGCTGAACGATCATCAGGGCGCGCTGAGTGGAATGCTGGGTGGAATGATGGGGGTGGCGGACCAGCAGAGACTCAACTTCAGCGTGGGCGACCTTCTCATGTGAGGGGCCGTCGCCGAAGACACTCACAAGCACACGCATAGATGCCTACCATTTTGTAGAAATCGCGTGCTCGAGTAATATCGGTTCTGAGGGTGTCGCAGACGAATGATGACGACTAACGAGCGGTCGGCCTACCCTTCATATCTACCAACAGAAGAAGGACGGGGTGACATGATGAATAACAGACACTTGCGTACAGTGTTCAGAGGAAAGGAAATTGGCCCGCTTCGTCTCAGAATCGTTGCTTGGCGAGAAAACGGTGTATATTGCCGTTTATTCAAGTAAGAATCACAGCTTCGCGGTGTCAAATGTGGGTGCTGGGCCCCGAGTGAAGCCCCTCTGAGCGAAACCACTAGGAACCTAGTTGGGTTTATCCGCCCGGTTCTTTATATTACATGAAGAGAGCCGTTTTGGGGAAGACGACTAGAAGACAGCGCGGGAATAAAGGTGCGGACCGATAAAGGAAAGGGCGACATGTGGCGAAACTAAGTGTCGATGATGACTTTGACGACCAGCCTGCCCTGGCCATCCGCAGTCTGGCCCGCGAGCTTAAACGCGTCCTTTGCCTTTCCCAGGCCGCAGAACCGGTGTGTGACCATGTCGCCGAGGCAGGGGAGCCTAAAGGCCTGACCGGGCGCGACGCCGCGGCGGCGGCCCGTCCCCTCCCCGTCCACCTCCTCCCCGCCCCGGGCCTCCAACTCCGTCGCGGCGGTGCGCAGCAGCCGGATGCCGGTCGGGCAGGCGTTTGCGTAGCGGAATACGCTTAGGACGTCGACCTCGCGCAGGTGGGCGACCGACACGGGCAGCGTCTGCACGGGCGTGGATGGGCACTCTGTCTTGAAAGGTGGGCGGTATGCATATGGGTGGGTGTCCCATATGCATGGAAGCGGACACGTTAGGAAGGGATGGGCAAATGATGGTAGCGAGGCAACGGTAGAGCTAGGACGGGCATTAGCTGAGGGTGGTGCGGGCAGAACGGAGTTGGAAAGGAGTATATTGCAAACCTGGGCTTGGTCGGAATCTCGCTGGTGGCAGGATCATGACGTTGAACGTGTTGCGGTGCCAGTCCCAGTTGGCTGGCATGGTAGGTCAAAGCATGGTGTGAAATCGCAGGAAGGAAGTAATCTTCTAGTTGGCGGATTGCGGTTCACGCTGCGCCATCGCATCTACGTGCTGGCCGGGCTCGTCCGTGCCACCCTCGCCAGGCAGGCGGAGCGGCGCCGTGGCCCTCAAGACCACCACCTGGACTGCAAGGGCGGCAGCTCGCGGGGCGGGGACAAGCCTCTCGCCGGGATATCGCGCAACGGCAAGAACGCCCTGTCGGACTGGAGGAAGGCCTGCGCAAGGCTCGCCGCCGGCATCCGGCCCTTGCAGCTCCGCCTGTTCGTCGCGCCCCTTTCCGCGTTCCCGGTCCTCCGTGCATGCGCCATCCGTCTGGGTCACATACCCGACGACCGGCTGCGACGTCTGGCCGAGACGACCGTCCGCCAGCTCACCGCCAAAACCCTCCCAGGGGCTCCGGCCGGGCGACCCACCCCGCCGCCGCCGCGGGCAATGGCGGGGTGCCACGACGCGCCCCCGTCCATGCACGCCTTCCTCGGCGGCGCCGTTCCCGCCCGCTGCGTCCGCCACCTGCGCTCGCTCGAGGTCGTGTTCGCGCGCGACGGCGCCGTGGCATCGGTCGTCCGGGGGTGGGCGCGCGGCGTTGAGCTGCTCGTGGCGCGCCACGGAGCGGCGCTCCCCGGGCTGGCCCTGACGCTGAACCTGTCGAGCCAGCGCGTTTACGCGGCCAAGTTGAACCACATGCCCACGGAGGATATGGAGGCGGTCGAAAGTAGGGCGAGGCTGGTGCATCGTTGCGTTTTGGGGCTGCTGGTCGACGGCCTCAAGTTGTAGACGCCGGCACTCCCGAGGGAGCGGCCGCTGAGAGACCTGTTTGTGTACCTGAGCTGAATAAGAGGTCTTGAAGCTGTGTATTCGTTCACGCAATGCGGACTTTACTCTGCTCTATGCAGCCTGTTTAATCGCACCAGGACGGGCAGACGGGCGGAAGGGTTGAAGCAAAGGTCGCGGTCACGCGGGCAAAAATGTTCATGTCTTTTGCCGCCCAATATCATATTCTTAGAGCAAACAGTGGCCAGCGTAAACGGGGCTAGAGAAGACGTAAAAAGGAGAGGTGAAAGAAGCAGAAAAGATGCCCAGAAAACATGGCTCAGCGGTAAACCGAGTACACCGAAGCGCAAACGTCCTCAAAACGTGCTCGTCGCTAGGCGGCTAGCAGCGTTCCTCGCATCTAGCCGGTCCCCGTCGTCCTCGTCTGCTGTGCTTGACATGCCCTTGGGCCGCGAAGTTTCTGTCGCGTCATCTCCCTCGCCGTCCTCGGGTAGAGTCCCAATCATGCTGGCTGTAACTGAGGCGGCCGCCGCGTCGGAACGGCGAGGTACGCCGCTCCAGGCGTCGCCCTTGGGCCCCTGGCTGGCCGCCATGCTAACACGCCTCTGCGGCGGGTGCGCCTCGCGACCCAACCGGCTAAGACCGCCCGAGCCGTCGATACCGCGGATATCGGGTCGAACTGTCTCGAGCAGCGCCAGCGTCCGCCTCTCCGCCTCGATCTCGCGCAACACGTACTCTCGGATGCTCAGTCGAAGGTCCGCCGCCGTGCGCGCGAACCAGCGCCGTCGCTCCTGCACCAGGTTCTGCGTCACGCGCTGCGTCTTCTGCTCAAGATACGTCTCGTTGCGCCGCGCCTCATCTAGTGATGCGATCGCCTCGTCCACCTTCTCCCTCCGCACGTTGGAGCTTCCCCGCAACCGGTCTGCCGCGTTAAGCTTGCTCCGCGTCGTCTCCTGCGCCTGAAGAAACTCGCGAATCAATATCTGCCGGTTCGTGAGCGTCTCCTTGACGATAAAGGCATCCGAGGAGTGGTGCTGTAGCGGGTCGCCAATCGTGGTAGCCTCGGCAGTGGCTTGGGCAGCATGGCAGTCGCCAACCGTCTGGATGACCTTGCCCAGCTTGCGATAGGCGTTAGCGAGCCCCTGGTGCAACTCCTGCACGTGCATTGCCCCCAACTTGACGCCGAAATCCGACTCGGCGAGACCCAATCCTGCAGCTTGTTAATGATCGGTGTAGCCATCGCATGCAGTGTCGCCTACAAACTGCGCCCTTCCCCGCAAGGAGATAACAGAATATTGGGAGGAAGGAGGTGAGAGGGGACGGCGTCGTAGCGGGGGACGATCTGCTCACCTCTTCGGGCTTTCACAAGCTTATCAACCTTGTGGCCACCATCCATCGCGCCCAGGTAGAATAACTTGACAATCGGACGCGAGTCCTGCAACTCTGGCGTGTCGTCAGGTGGTGGGGCGAACTGCTTGAGGATCTTGCGGCGGACGCCCGTAGCCGGCTGCTTCTTCTTGATCGTGGGGCTGTAGCCAAAGTCACTCTCGACAAAGCGCACCATCTCGTCATCCCTGAGCAGCACATCGTTGCTGCAGACGTAGTTGAGCCACCGTTGCATCAGGCCCTTGACTCGGACCTCATCCTCGTCGGTGCCGGCGCCCGCAGACGTCAACGGAGGGGGCACAGCAGGTACTATGGCTTCGGGGTTGGACGATATGAGGTGCTCGGCAAGTTTGACGAACTCGGAGTGCAGTCGGCGGATATCTCGGTATTGTGTCGTTCGGAACTTGGGGATGTTTGTCTGTGATCCTTTGATGTGAGCCTCCTACTCGTCGCAATGGCACATCCACCAGCAACTCGCTACACACCACACCACCAGGCCTATAACGTGGTGCGGGCGTCGCATGCATCAAGGGAGGGGGACATAGAATGGAAAGGGTGTGTTGGGTTTCGTACATGGACGTCGAATCTTAGGATTGGGTCCTTCCGACCAGTCCGCTCGAGCCCCGTTATCTTGGCCTGGAGCTTGAAGAGCGGCTGCGGAGGCCGCCTCGGTTGTGAGTCTGGTTGCTGACTATCCTGGTTCTGTTGCTGCTGTCCTCCCTGGGCTTTAGCATCCTGCTGCGCTGCTGTCGGAGCCTGGCCCGCGGCTGCCTGCGACTGAGACTCGCCGCCCTCGGGCGCGTCTGTCCCCGAGTTGTCCGCCTGACCCTCGGGGGCGGGTGCGGCACTGTTGGCGGTGGTGGGCCTTGTGAAGCCGGTGTCGCTGTCCCCGAAACCGGCATCGTCCTCAGCGGCACCGAGGCCGTTGCCGGCGGGGTTTGGCGTAAATCCCTGAAAGGCGGGCGGGGCGAGGGCGCCACCGGCGGAATTAAAGGTGGTGCGATTGGGTTGGGGCGAGGTGCCTGGCGAGCCCCATGGCGAGGTGCCACTGGGGTTGTCGTCGTGGAAGGGCTGGCTGTAGTCCATGATTGCTGGGCGTGTGGGCGCGGGTGTCAGGTGGTGGTGTTTTGGTCCGAGGCGGATGACGTTGGCTTCTCGTGCGAACGGCGACTAGAGCTGTTGTGTGGAGGCTGGGCCTGAGGAGCTGCCCTGGCGGTCGCAACCAAGAGCGGGGCGCTGACACGGAGCAGGAGCGACCCCAAGAACGCCAAACTCGCTCAGTGCCCTGCTGTTAGTCTTAATCACGACCAACTGTCTCGTGCAAACGGTTCAGACAACAAGCAAGCGAATGGGCTGGACCTTGAAAAGCCACATGCGGTGGCGGGGACTAGTCGTAGCTTGAAATCGACGCGGCCCAAGATCAATCAATCATGGACTTCAACCCGTCTCGATTGGCTTCTAGCTTGGCGCGCACGGAGCACAGGCTCCGCTGCACGGTGCTGGGCACGGACCTGCACAGGGTCAAATCAGACCAGCACCTTGCCTTTTTGCGCCTGAAAACTCCAACCAGGAGAGGCTATCGAGAGCCACGCCACGCCGCCGACCTGCCCCAATCACTTGCATATGTCACCGTAAAAGTCTTCGTTACCACCACCTTCAAGGCAGACTCCAAACTACGTGGCGGGTAAAGCAGGTCAATAATAGGAGCCAGAGGGGCCAAAAATGCACACCTTCTCCCCTCCTTGACAGGATACAGCCAGTGGCCAGTATGCTGTCCTCCAGACGCTGTTTCTCAGCATGCCGTAGCTGGGATTCAGGGATCCGCAGGCTCCGGTCTGCTCCTGTGCTGTTTCAGCGCAGTTCTCGGCTCGGGGTTTCAGTCTCGCCGTCTTCCTTGGGGAGCCGTTGGAGCCTGCGATGCTACACTGGTGATGGGTCCACCTATTACGATGCCAAAGTGGGAGATATAAGAAATATTGGGATTATAGCTCACGTTGATGCGGTATGTCTAATTACTGGTTCACAGCCGGCTGTATTCTCGATTCAGACCGAAGAACTTGGAAGAATGCCGGCCTGACATCCTGTGCCATAGGGTAAAACAACAACCACAGAACGGATGCTTTTCCATAGTGGCCTGACAAAGCACTTGGGCAGTGAGTAGAACTCCGCTCGTAGCTATCCACAACTATCTACCCAAGGCTACCAGGAGTAGGCCTCACATGTGGCACACGTAGCGTATATAGGCTAAACGCACAAGCATACAGATGTTGACAGCGGCGATACTGTCACTGACTTCCTTCCCATGGAGAGGGATAGAGGCATCACCATCCAGTCAGCCGCCATCACCTTTCAGTGGCCACGGCCGGCGGAGTGTGCCCCAGGCGTCTCGCCCAAGACAGTCAACCTGATCGACACGCCCGGCCATCAGGACTTCCGCTTCGAGGTCGACCGCTGCATGCCCGTGCTGGACGGCGCCGTCTGTATCATCGACTCTGTCAAGGGCGTCGAGGCTCACACGGAGCGCGTCTGGGCCTCGGCACAGCAGTTTTCGATCCCCCGCATCCTCTACGTCAACAAACTGGATCGCGACGGCGCTTCCTTCCAACGCTCCGTCTCCGAGATCGCCAGTCGTCTCAATTCATGGCCCCTGGTTCTCCAGATTCCCTGGTGGGATAAGGACAACTTTGTTGGTGTCATAGACGTTGTCAACAGCATCGGGTACCGCTGGAAGTCTTTGGGTGTCAAGACGACCTACAGCCAGGAGAAGCTCAAGGCCGTCTTGGGTGAAACCAACCCAACTCTCCTAGCTCAGATGGACGAGGCATATGAAGCTCTCATCAACACCCTCTGCGAACTAGACGAAGAGTTCCTTGATCGAGATTTGGACAACATGACACCCGAGATCATAAGAACAACCATCAGAAAACTGATCAGTACCGGCGACGGCAAGATGGTTCCCGTGTTTGCGGGCTCAAGTTTGAGAAACATTGGTGTGGACCCTCTCCTTGACGCCGTGGTCGACTATCTACCAAGTGCCAACGAACGGCCGCCACTTGAAGTCTCCATCGACGGAGTAAAGTCAACGCTAGAGCAAGCTATCAAAAACCAAAGCTCGGGCAAAAACAAGCGTCCGGTGGGCATATCTGCCCTTGCCTCCGTGTTCAAGGTCGCCAACGACTTCAGCAAGCACGACGCAACAAAGAGCATGCTGTCCTTCGTTAGGGTGTACCACGGCAAGCTGCCAGCGACCGGCGAGGTGTGGAACGCAACAAGAGGCGCTGCGGAGCACGCTATGAGCATGGTGCAGATCTCGGCCAACAAAACCCACCAGATCCCGCACTTGTCGACAGCCCAGATCGGTGCGCTCAAGGGTCTCAAGGATGCCAAAACCGGCGATACCCTGATACTCGCGACCAACGTCGGCCACAAGTGGACGGAGAGCCCGCTGAGCAGACTCCAGGTCCGGCCGGCGGAGATCCCGCATCCCGTGGCCTTCATCACCATGGCTCCTCAGTCCAGGTCAGGAATCAAAGGCGTGGAGAGTGCACTGGAGAGGCTGTCTCGTGAGGATCCTAGCCTTCGGTATAGCTACAACGATAAGGAGGAGGTCTTCATCTTGTCAGGCATGGGCCGTCTCCATATCGAGGTCTCCCTGGACCGACTCAAGACCGTATACGGTCTGGAGGCCAACATCTTTGGCATCGAGGTCGAGTACAAGGAGTGTATCTTGCGGTCTACAGGGCCCCAGCGCCATCTCTTTGATGGCGTCGTGAATAGCAAGAGCGGCAAGGCGGCCTGCACGGTTACTCTTAAGCCAAAGTCCGAGGACGGAGAGGAGGGAAGCTACGCGGCGCCCATCGACGAGGACAATGCGGTCCGCATCATCTTTGCGGAAAACCCCGACGGCTCCGGGTGGCCCGAGGGCTTCGACCCCGAAAGGACGCGACACGAGCTCCTGAGCGGCGCGGCGGCGGCCCTCCGCACGGGGCCCAGGCTGCGGCGGCCGGTACACGGCTGCGTGGCCAGCGTCGCCTACGATCCGGCGACCGACTTCTTCGGCGCCGGCACGCCGAGCTCCCACAACGTCAAGGCCGCCTACAACGCCGTCAAGGCGTGCCTCAAGGACGCGCACGCCAGGTCGCTCGTCGGCATCCTCGAGCCCGTCATGAGGGTCGACATCGCCTGCCCCGAGGGCGCGGCCGACGCCATCCAGCACGACATCTCGGGCGCCCGCGGCGGCACCGTGCTCGAGGTCATGGACCGGAGCGCCGAGGTGGGGGCGGCCACGGCGGCCGTCGCCGACGCGACCGAGGGCGGCGAAAGGATCCCGCTCGACAGCGTCTACGTGCCGCGGGACCCGTACGAGAGCGTGCAGTCGCTGCGGGACCAGAAGAAGGGGCTGGTGCGCATGCTGGAGATGAAGGCCATCGTGCCGTTCAAGGAGATGCTGGACTACGACTCCAAGCTGCGGAGCATGACGGCCGGGCGCCACTCGCTGGCCATGTCGCTGGACACGTTCAAGCAGGTGACGGGCCCGAGGGAGAAGGCGATTGGTTGATTCCTAGGTAGCTAAGAGTCGACGTTTTTGTCGCGACGGTGCTTGTATTACCCTTGTACGAATATCAAAGGAGGGTGTGGGAAGCATACAGACGAATTGAAGGAGAATTTAGAAAAAATAGACGAAGGGATGATTGCTGGGTTAGCGAAGCTCAGCACCGATGATCCACATTCTGCCCCGCGATGACACATAGCCGATATAAGCCTCCACCCGCCACCCACCTGCAACAAGCAGCAATCGGCCCAATGGTCTAGTGGTATGATTCGTCCTTCGGGTTAGTTACAACTCGTTCTAGCTTCTAGAACACATCTGGACGAGGCCCCGGGTTCGAATCCCGGTTGGGCCCGACTTTTTGATGCTTTTTATACCCCTTCCTAGTTCGGGTTTAGTTATATATATAGGTGGTGAGTGAGTGAGGTGCATAGCAAGTAGCAACAGCCACGATTGTTGTTAGTACCTTGCTTACTTTTTTTGGTTACCATTTAATTCGGATTAAAAATTCTTTGTTTACTGAATAATGTAAAAGCAGGTACTCTCTCGGCCCGACATTGTAAAAATTGCCCCTCGTGATGAAATCGTTGATGATGCGGTGATCGTGTACATGACGTCCTGGACCATAGTGGCGCTTCGATGATTTACCATATCAGCGAGCATGTCAGGACCTTGGACATCAATGATTTCTCGTTCTTGGCTATCATTTATGTTTGGCCTTGTAAATGCACGGTACTCATATCTAGAACCCCCAAGACTCGAGATGCATCTCTTCTGTTTTTTGCTAGTCGGCTTCGTCTCCGTCCTCGCATTCGACGACCCTCCATTGAGAGAGACGCGGAGCATTGACGAGATATACCGAGCCGCCCTGGATGAGGGAGGCACCGTGACGCTTTGGCACGGCGGAGATGAAGTCTACCAGCGCGACAATCTCAAGGCCGCGTTCGAAGCGCGGTTCCCGGGGGTAACGGTAAACTTGACCGTCGACCTCTCCAAGTTTGTCCACATCCCCTCCCGTTCCTGGTCACTGCACGCCAACACGGCCTTCTGGGCCGTCGTGGCAGCACACCGCTGAGACGTGAGTATCCACACAGATATCTCGACGGCCGGTTCGATGACCAGCTAGCCAGGGCCGCCAAGGGCGACGCTGGGGCCGTCACGGTGGACAGCATCATCCTCCAGACCGTCCACGACTACCCCCGGTGGGCGCAGCAGAGGGCCTTGCTGGACTACAGACCTCTCGGCTGGGACCAGATCAGTCCAGCATTTAGGGACCAAGCGTCGGCGACGCACTACGGCGTCGCCGTCTTCTCGTGGCCCCTCGTCTGGAGCACCGACAAGCTCCCGGCCGGCACGGCCCTGTCCGAGTTTGATGACTTCCTCCGCCCGGAGCTCAAGGACAAGATCGTGCTGACCATGCCCCACGACGACGACGCGGTGCTGTGGGCCTTTGACCTCATGTTAGTGCCTCATTTATCGGAAGAACGCAAGAAGCAAGAGTTTGCCGACGTTTCAGAGCTAACTAGATCCCCCCCACCTAGAATACAACAAAAAGGCACGCCATGGCTCGACGCCCTCCTGGCCCAGAACCCGCGCTGGGTGCGCGGCACGCACACGCCGCTCGCCCTCATCTCGCGCAACGACACGCGCCTCGCCGCCACCTTCACGAGCGGCACCGCCTACCCGCCGCCGCGCGGGTTGGCCGCCGCCGTGCCGCGCCGCACCCGCTTCGTCAGCTGGCCGCAGACGGCCGCCATCCCGCGCGCCGCCCCGCACCCCGAGGCCGCCAGGCTGCTGCACGCCTTCTTGCTGTCCACGGCCTGGCAGGGGAGGGGGGGCTGGAGCGTGCGCGGGGACGTGACCCCGCCGCCCGGAACCACGTTCGGCGTCGGGCATGACGTGGCGGCCGGCGGCGTCCCGAGCACGGACCCGGCCGCCTTCGCGCCCTGGATGGCGGATCGGGCGCGCGTCGAGCGGCTGCGGCTGTGGTTCGAGGACAGGCTCGGCACGCCGCAGGGGCCGAGCCCGCTTGTGGACGGCTCGTGAGGGGGGCACCTCGGGATGGGGACGGGGTGTGTTTGTGTCTTTTGTGTATTTTTCTTTTTGTTGGTAGGACGCCTATCACCTTACGGTCCTAAAGGGGCTCACCTCTAGGGTGATGCAAATCCGACTTTTGGCGGGGTGAATCGTGTCCCTTTTGCATGGGAAGAAAAGAGATCGGTCTGCCAAGGGCCGGCCAGAGGCCGGCCCCTATACACAGGCCTGGGCCACGTGACAGGCCTACCTCACCTATCGGATACCCATGTATATAGCTGACCCAACACTTTCTTTTTTGTCTTCTTTCGGTCAATGGGCTGGGGCGGGCAAAGGGGAGGACTCGAGCGTGAGCGGGGGTCGTCTGTTAGATGCTTGCTCTCTCTCCCTTCCTCTTATTCCCTTCCTCTTATTCCCTTCCTCTCTCTCCCTCCCTCCCTCTCTATGAATCTACGCCAGCCATCATAACATGTTGCGCTTCGTATCCGCCCTGGCCCCCTCTGCTGTGATGTGATCGACTCTCATTACCCATCACTCCAGATCGAGCTCGTACCAGCCGTCGGTGGTCCTCTTGGCCCGCGGCTGTGCTCGCCGGCGTCGAGACGGGACGCTGCTGCGCCCTGCAGGAGGGCCGCCGTGAACGCCAGCACGGTTTGCGAGTGACTGGGCGGGAGTCGAAGAAAGAGCAAAGACCAAAGGCCCGCGGCTGCTTCGGGGGGTCCTTGCAGTGGGGAGCAAGTGCTTTTATTACGAGCCCCTTGACAGCCGTCCGCGCCACACGTAGGCTTTCGGGGTCGGGGTCTTCAGCCCGGAGTCTACGAGGGAAAAAGAACAGACCCATTTCTCCGGTTTCTAGGAGGCTTCATGCCTAGCGGATATCGGACCGCAAATTCTGTCTGAAGCGGGCCGCGAACGAACATGGCGAGGTCGGGGCGTAGCCTAGCGTGCGCCGGGTTTGTGTCGTGTGTCTTGACACATGTTATTCATCTTTGCCGAGGACGCCAAAATTGCGATGACAGCTGAGGTATGGTTCGTGATGTAGAGGTTTGGTGGTAGGTAGTTATTCTAGGCCTGGATCTAGCGTGGCATATATGTAAACTTGATGGCGACGGCGCAAAGTCAAATCTCAGTGCCAGGCGCCATTCAAGGGGTGGAGCAAGTGCTAGACTGTTGCCCCTTTTACTGCGGGGTGGCGTGATCACTATTCAATAAGAAACGTGCATCTGCAAGACACACAGGAGTCTTGCGGACCGCATGGAGAGTTTTAAGCATTAGATTGCTTTATTTAGAGATTCATACATGATTACGCTGTTGTAACGACAAAAGCGAAGGCCCCCGCTTAGTGGCTGATAGCTACCAAGTGGGTCTATATCCTCGCTGTTGAAGCGACACGTTCCCAAACCTCACCTATTCTGCAGCTCCATGGGCGCCCTGTCCACAGCGGCGGCGGCACTTGGCTCCTCGGCACCAGCCGTCGCCGGCCGCCCACGGGCGAGCGACTTGAGGCCGGTGCGGTGCTCCTCGTGCTCCTCGCTCAGTTTCTTAGAGCCGATGAAGACGCTGCAGACGAGCCCGAGGCCGGCAAAGGCCACGTACATGGTGAACATTGTGCGCAGGCTCAGCCAGTAGGCGCCGCGCGCCACCAGGCCCGCCTCGCCGGTTATCTGGGCCACGGTGCCGACGCTGGCGGCCGCGTCGGCGCCCGTGAGCAGCGAGGCGATCTCGGGCCCCACGGCCTCGAGCAGGCGCCCGCGCTGGCCCTCCATCGTGTTCTGGAACACGACGCCGCCGATAACGACCGAGATGGCGGTGCTGAGCTGCCGCACGAAGTGGAACGTGGCCGTCGCGCTGGCCACCTCGGACGGCGCCACGAACGTCTGGAGCGCGATGAGCGGGCCCTGGAAGTTGGGGCCCGTGCCGATGCCGGCGACGATCTGGTACAGGATCAGCTTGGCCCAGTCGGGCCCGGACGCGGACGGGCCGCCCAGGTCAACGAACAGCCCAAAGCCGATGGTCATGAGTGCGAATCCAAAGACGATGGGGCCGAGATATGTGCCCAGGATCTTGATGATGAACCCGGACCCGATCGACATGAGCGAGAGCGCGGTGCCAAACGGCAGGATGTACACACCCGACATGAGCGGGGTGGCGCCCAGGACGGCCTGGAAGTAGAGAGGCAGGAAGTAAAAGCCCGCAATGGTCACAAAGCCGTGGAAGAAAGCGGCCCCTAGCACAAACTGGTTACTGCGCTTGGTGAAGATGGAGGCAGGGATCAAGGGGAAGGGCGCAAAGTAACGCTCCACCACGACGAAGGCGCCAAAGAGCGCAGCGCCGAACACCAGGAGGCAGACGACGGTCGGGGAACTCCATGGAAACAAGACGCCGCCAAGGGTGAGGCCCATGAGCACCATGACGGTGGCCCCGATGATGGCCAGCGAGCCGAGCCAGTCCACGGCCGCCAGGCCCTTGCGCATGGGGGTGCGCGGGTTGTGGAGCTTCAGGACGACAGCGAGAATTATGAAGCCAACACCAGCCACGGGCAGGTTGATCCAGAAGCACCACCGCCACGAGATGGTCTCTGTGAAGAAGCCGCCGAGTACGGGCCCGACGCCTCCCGCAACAGCCCAGACGATTCCCATTATGCCGTAGTAGATTCCCCGATGGCGCGGGCTGAAGAGGTCGCCGATGCAAACGTTGACCAGGATGATGATGCCGCCTCCGCCCATGCCCTGCACCGCGCGGCTGATAATTAACATGTTCATGCTCGTGCTTAGGGCGCAAAGAAGGGAGCCAATCCAGAAGACGACGACGGTCAGGAGGAGAATGGGCTTCCTGCCCCAAATGTCGGATATCTTGCCCCAGACCGGGGCTGTCGAAGCGTTGGCCAGCAGGTAGGCGGATCCGATCCAGGTAAAGCCGACGGTGGACTGGAACTCGAGCGCGATGGCGGGAATCGAGACGGTCACGATGGAGATGTCGAGGGCGGCGACGAACAAGGTCGTGGCTAGCGTCATGACGATGAGTGCGGTCTGCATCTTAGTGCGCCCGGCCTCGGGTGGAGGCGGCGGGCCTCCAGCATCTTCAGCGCTGACGGGGCCTCGGGCACCTGTTGGCAACGCGTCGTTGCCAGTGGCAAAGGCCCTGGGCGGCTCCATGGCTCCAATGGAGAGAGATGCGCTGCTGGAAGCCGTAGCGCTAACTACGGATGCCCTCTTGCGGTCGACGCGATCGGTATGATTCTCTTCGTCGGCAGCCATGTGGCCGCCGGCAGCCTGGGAAGCCATTCCCTATCCTTGCCGTACAGGGGTTTTCCCGAGACGTGATTCCGGGTCACGGGGCCCACCGATGGTGAACAGGACGGTGCCGGCCGCAGGGGCCTCGTGTCGACCCGAGTCGACTGACAGGCCTGTTATCGTCGGGATCAGGCTGGAACAGCCGGGTGTTCCCTGAGATGGAACAAGCACGGCGGATAGTAGAGCGGGCCGAGAGGAAAAAGTGGGCTTGCTGATCGCTGGACGGGTTGGGGATGGTTGACAAGCTGGTGAAGGACGTTCGTTTATGGACGGGTTTTATATATCCATGACGGGAGTGACGAGGGAGGCGCAGTTTCGCTGCCCTTTGCGGGTTACAAAGGCGAAGGGCGATCCGGGTGAGTGAACAATGAACAAGGCGAGATAGGACAAGGGGTAGGAATTAGACAAAGGATAGGAGGGCATTTCCCAACATGGAGAAGCTGTCAAAGAAGAAAAATGGGAGACTCGATCTGCTTCGAGATTCTCGTCGTCCATCTGTCGGTACCAGAGCACCGGCACTAGCAAGGTTCACAACAGCCGAATGGAACGCTGACAAAAAAAGAGGCATAGAGGTATTGAGATTGCTTGGGTCGGCTCCACTGGACGAGTTCCAACAGCCGACGCATCCTGTTCACCGACAAGGCGCCCTGCCGCCGTCCTCGGCACCAGGCAGGGCGCCTGCTCGCGCAGGATGCCGTGCCGCCAGAAGCGCGAGCCGTCCTGTTTGGGGTGGTACTGGGGGCTGTCTCCGAAGTGGGTGCGGGGTTGCAGTTGAGCGCTTTCCACACGTCCTGGCTGGCGATGTCGGCAGCCAAGCGGGAGGGACGCCACATCCGCAGCGGATGACAGCGGCGATGACCCCGTGACGGGTACTGCAGCCACCCTGGGGGTGACCAAGGGTGACCAACCAGGGTGGCAGCTGTCAGGCGGGCGCGCGACTCTAGAATCAGTGACAGCTGTTGTCGGTCGCCGGGGAGCAAACAGACGAAAAACGAGAATGATTGATATCATACAATTTCCCAGCCTGATCCTCCCACCCATCAGCTGTGCCAATCGACGGCGTCCGTGTCATCCAAAGGGCGCCTCAGGGTCACGTGCTTGATAGGCTGGCACCCCTGTTGCACATGTCACGAGCATGGCACTCGCTTAGCCTTGCGCCTGGTGCATTGGCCTGGCGGGGTGCATATATCGAGTTGGTGTGTGGTAGTGTTGCATGTTCAGCCATCCAGGGAAGGGAATATGTATGATACCAAGCCGGGAGGATCGTGTAATTGGGTCCTCAGGTACTGAGGTTTGCATTTCCAACTTGGGCTTGTCAATCCGCCTCGAATTTTCTTGACCTTTTCCCAACCGAATTATGCTCGACATTCCAGTCACAAGGCGATGCACGGGCCTCGCCCTTGCCCCTGAAGAAGCAAATCCCCAGGTTTGGCAGCAAACCTTTGCCCCTGAAGAAGCAAACCCCCAGGCCGTGACGTCCCCACCTCAAGCTACAACAAGAAACGACCCCAGGCGTGACGACGCGATCACAGCCATCGCGAAAACGCGATGCTCAAGCTAGGTAGGCATGTCATGAACAAAAACTTGAATCCAAGAATCCAAATTCGCACCCATCCCATAACGCCAGTTCTGCACCAGCAGCCCAACCCGCCATGGTCACCTGCACCCCAGTCCCTCTACCCGCCATCCCCGGTATGCCGCGCACCTCCCTTCCCGGGGGGAGCCCCTCCTCTGGGCGAGCGCAGCCTCAACATCGCGCCCCCCGCCGCCGCCGCCGCCGCCGCGAAGCGCGGGACGAAGCGCAAGTCCACCGACGCGCCGTCTGAGGACCCCGAGGCCGTCAAGGCCATGATGTTCCCCGCCGAGCTGGACGAGATGGAGGACGACGACCCGCGCATTGCGCAGTACCCGCGCCAGACGTGCAACCAGGTGCGCAAGACGATCCGCACCTGGACCGAGAGCGGCGCCCAGAAGATCGGCGAGTTTCAGCGCACCATCGGTGTCTCGGGCCCGGCCTACAACCGCTTCATGAACCGCGCCGGCACCTGGGCCGGCGAGGAGACGGACACGTACTGGAAGGCCCAGATCTATTTCAACCAACGCAAGGCTCTGGGCCTGCCGCTGGCCCTGCCCAAGCCCAAGAAACCCAAGACGACGGCGGCCCCGTCGGGCGACGCCAACCCCGAGGCCGCCAAGAAGGGCGCCGGCCAGGACGCCAAGGTGACCAAGCTCCTCGACGCATGCGACGATATCACCCTCCCCGGCGAGGGCACCGAGGGCGGCGTGCCCGTCTACGACACCCCGTCCGAGATGCGCAAGAAGTTCCGCGCTCTCCTGGCCAAGGAGGGCGTGTCCAGGGCGGCCTTCATGCGGGCCCTGAGCAAGATGATCCCCGACGAAACGCACGTCTCGGCCCAGAACCTCAAGACCTTCATGGACCAGACCGGCACCATGGACGGCAACACGAGCAAGAGCTTCTACGCCGGCTACCTACTGTTCGAGAAGCAGCGCGTCCGCGACGGCAAGCCCAAGTCGGCCTTCCGCCAGGAGATGGAGGCGCGCCACCAGCCCGAAGGCGTCGAACGCGAAACCAATCTGAAGACCACGGGCTTCCTCTGCCTCGCCGGCGAGCGTCCGCACATCGACAAGTTCGGCAGCTTACAGATGGTGTGATTAAGGTGCGACTGTGTCGTCACAGAGAGTGCCTCCCGCGGGCCGGGTGGCCCTGTCAAACACGCGGGACTGGAGTTTTGTATGTGTATTATCGGGCCGGCTGCCTGGGTGTTTTTGGTCTTTTGATGTTGGGTGGTGTAGGTTAGGATGTATCGGGTGTGCATGTATGAATCAGGGGTTTTAGGTGTCTAGGCAGGTAAAAGTCAGGGCAACACTGTTGTCAACGTATTATCCCCAAGAGATCAGCTAGGGGATATGCGCCTTGTCGGTATTGCATCCACCAACAACAACCCCATCCATGCAGCGGTTTCATCTTGGCAGCCAAGGAATGAAGGAGGATAAGCTCTCGTCGGGTCAGTTATCATCAGTGAAGATGCTACTTCGTGACTTTTTGAAGTACCCCCAACCCAGCCCCTTTTCCAAAGCCAAAAACGCCGCAAACCCAACTAGGTACCCAATCGCATCCTTGCCAAGTCATCCATCCCGCAACACGCGCCACCCTACAACCAGAACCTAAAGGGCCGAGGCCGCCCGGCGGCGTTTATTGGCGGGACCCTCAGGGTCGGGCTCGTGGGATCCAGGTCCGGACGCGTGGTGGTGGTCGACGACGTCCTGTTGGGCGGGAAGCTGAGGGACGGGCCGGGGAAGCTGGTGGTGATGGAGCCGCTGCCGCCGGGGGAGGTGGCGGTCGTGCTGACGGTGGAGCCGCCGCCGCCGCCGCCGCCGCTCGTGCTCGGGCACGACGGATGGATGACGCCGTACGAGGTGGTGCACCACAGGCCAGAGCAGCTGCTAGCGCAGGGGAAGTCGAGGTACTAAGGGGGTGGTTTGTTCATTTCAGCGTCTGCTTTCTCGTCTTTCGTCTAGACTTGGACCACGACATGAGGGGGCAGGGGCAGGGGGGGTCACATACCACAGTCGGCACCGGGCCCGGGCAGGAGCAGAACCGCGTCAGCGTGGCCAGCTGGATGCAGGCCGGGACGGTGCAGGTCGAGCAAAACTCCCGCGTCGACGTCACCGTCGGGCAGCCCGTCTGCTGGGGCGGCGACGGCAGCCCGCTCGCCGACGGCACCGTCGCCGTCGTGAGCTGCGGCATCGTTGCGGTTGTGAGGATGGTGGAAGCGCCGCCGCTCTGGGTGGCGGCCGTGCTGGCGCTGTTTGCGGGGAAGGGGCGGACTGGGGTTAGCTGCACGGTATACCCCTCACGTTGATAGTCACCTAGAGAGGGGTGCTTTGAAGCGGACTTCCACTCACCAGGCAAGCACAGCGCCCAGGATCTGGACAAAGGTCTTCATTTTCTGCCTCTTTTTCGACCGCGGGAAGTGAGATGAAGACGGGTGGTTTTCGGAATGGGCACTTGAACAACCGTCCGGAAAGTGCGCGCATGTCTCCCCCAGCCTCTTATAGCGGTGAGAGGGGAGGGGGAGTTGTTTTGTGTCGCCCAGCCATCAATCAGATCAATCAACCCTGGCACCACCCGAATCCTTTGGGCTGACAGCACAGCTTGGCGCGGGGACGCACGCCGCGGGGTGGCTGGCTCATTTGTCCATCACTTTTCGTGTTTGTTGGTCGCCAAGGCGTGGGTGACGATTGCAGGTCACGCCCATGGCGGGAAGGGAGCATTCCTGCTCTGATACGACACGTTTTTCTCGCGTCGCGCGCTGTGGCGAGCTGCCCTTTTTTTGTTTTTTTGTGTCTTGTCCCGAAACTTGGGCTTCTCTGGGGTGCTTGTCTCGACTCCACATATTCGCCTCCAAAAACACGCTTCGCGTACTCGGCGGCAGAGTTGGCAATTAGTATCTTAGTATTAGTATAGTTTAGTACTAGTACTAGTATACTAAACTAATACTAATATGCATAAATTGGTATAGTTCGTACAATTTAAATAAATGATAAATATTTAAACCCTTATTATGTTAAGTGCTTACGGTTTTATGTAAAGGGATCTAGCAAGGAAACGGTTAAATCACCGCCACAGCGCCACAAGGGATGCTCGAGCCACAGGCACGAGCTTCCCCGCAGGGACCCATGAGCCTCAGGCCACAAGGGCTGTTACGTAACATGGGCCTCAAGCCACAAGGGCCCGTCACGTAACAAGGGCCAGAGAGGCCATGGGTTAAAGCCAGCTTGTGGGAAGCAATTTAAGCAATTTCCTCCCCAAGTTAAAGTTGTCGTTTTTACCTTGTAGTAATATAGGATTTTAAACCCAATTAAACTTTCTGCTTTATCGTAATTACTTTGTACAGCTTTCGGCTTAACCCCGTAACAAAATGGTAAGTAAAATATGTATATATTAATACGTTTTTTATGAAAAAAGAAAAACCAGCGTTATGTAGAAAAATTTATAATATAATAATCCTAGCTTTGGGCGTTTGGTTTTATATTATTATACAAAACGTAACTTGTTTAAGCGCAGTCCGGCTTACATTTTAAATACATTTAAAATGCGCTTTAAATACGGTTAAAATCCGGCTAATACCCAGCCTTTAAATACTTAAATTAAATATTTCAAAACCGCATTCCAGCCTTTTTCGGATTTAGGTTTTATAGCGGGATATGTATATATATACAAAGCTTAGTGCGTAGCGCATTTTTATTGCACTCGGTTCTTAATAAAAGCGTAGTAAGCTTTTTACTTAAGCCTTAATCCATCCTTCCGGGGCGGGGTAAGCCTTAAGTTAAACCTAGTTTGTCTTAGCAAGGGATGGCAGCGGTATATAGCTTTCTTAACTTACGGGGTAATCCCGTTGGGTTTAACACATGTGTACAGCGTTATACGGAAGTTTAGTTTCTAAAATTAAGGTTTAACTTACTTTTTACTATTTAACTTATTTACACGTAAGTACGGTTAAGGCTTTACCTTTATTATTTAGCTTATTCGTATAAATTTGTGATAGGGGTTACCTTTTATTACTTATTGTTACGGTACGCGTCGGGACACTTAGGGAAGAACCTAAGGCCGCATTCCCAGCACGCCAACGTTACGCTTACGAGGCCACAGTTTAAATGAACATGGAGCGCTTGTTGTCGGATACTTACTTAATGCCGTTTTCCATTTTTGGCTGGAACGGCTTAAACCAGGCGGACCGTACGTCGTCCGAGGTGCCGTCCATAAGGTATTGCTGGTGCTGCCTCACAGTGGCCCGGTACAAGCGCACCAAGGCCGATGCCTGAAATCCTCCGAGTCCCTCCACGATCTTCTTGGCGTGGTAGGCCAAAGCCGGACGGAGTCCGATCGACGGAGGGAAAAGGGAAAATGGACAGCGCGCCACTTGTCGACCCACGGGGTGGTCCCGTTAGGTTTAACACTACTATATCATACATCATCGGGCCCCTCGTGATACTGCGGCTGGGGCTACAAAACTTCACGGAATTCCCGTAGGCGCCGGCATGGTCCTTAGGGCGGGCTCGGAGAGCTTGCGCTGGCGGCCCTCGGCCAGCAGGCGCTGGGTAGTGATGCGGTCCGGGTAGTTGCGCAGGAACATGTTTGTGAAGTGCGTGCCGTAGTGGATGCCGTCGCGCGGCTCCTGGCCGGCCTCGTGGCCCGGCAGCGGCTTACACACGGCCTGGAAGCTGGGCTCCTGGAAGTAGGCAAAGGCGTACCGCTCCGCCGTGTTGAGCCCGACCTTGTGCGGCGTCGAGGGGAGGTACGAGTTTGTCATATACTGCACCATGTCGCCTGGAGTGAGAAGCAGGCCACAGGGGGGGG